GCAGTAAACCGCCGCGCGCCTCGGGGCGCACGGCGGGCAGAAAACCGCCGCGCGCCCCGAGCGCGCGGCGGGATGAAAAATAAGAGGCCGCGCACCACGGGGCGCGCGACACAGCGTAGGGCAGCGGAAGCAGTAGGAGGGCCCACAGGCCAGGAGCGTATGTGCTCTGATTCCATGTGAAGATAGTAGGCAGAGTTAGGAGCCATAGCTAGGTAAGTCCTAGCTAGGCAAGAGAAGTTTAGGCAAAAGAGGAGGTTCACTAGCAGCAATGAGGATACATATAGCAAACCCTAGATGGGTTGTACTCGCTATAGAGCACCCCACTACAGGCTAGAGAATAACATTCTGACACGGTGAAGGCCCTCGTACTTGAATTTAGGAACCACAAGGTGCTGGTTCACGCGACGCAGATCCAAGATCAACCGACATTTGTCGCGTTGTTCCACGACGTTGAGGGGGCTGATGCAAGTGAGCTCACCAACAGAGAGAGCTTCCACAGCTGCTCCTGATGCCAAGAGGTCTGTTATCGCATCGCGTGTGAAGCTCGCATGAGTGTAGGCGCCAGCGTGGTTGGGTGCGGAGAATGGATTGGGAGGGGCAACCTTCCATGGAAGCCAGTAGCCTTTTGAGATGATGGAGAGGATGAAACTGCTCGTACACCACGAGCACCACCATGAAAACGCGTGCTTGAGTCGGCCGCTCATGAACGTGATTCGTAAATCGGTAATGGCGTGCTCGTAGGGGTCACAATCGGGGTATTCGTCCAGGATCGTGAAACCTGCAACCATTGATAGATTCCCAAGTATTTAGTTAGGATGACAATATGCGATGTCAAATTCACAGTCGGGGCAGGACCGTAGGTCAACAAGAATCGACAAGGCCATCCTTATGCTCATAATGCCGTGATTGGCGGTGCGACGACTTGATGTTGTCATGGGCATCTCCACGTGCGCACTATTTCCCGCCTTTGATAAGTTGTCATTTCCACGTGTGTGTGTGGATTTTTTTTTTTTTTTTTTTTTTTTTTGTACGGACTCGATCATACCGAGGCATACGGGGTGGTCCACCCCCCGGCTTGTCTCATGAGTATCCACGTTAGGCTTTGCTCAGAAGAGAGAGCCACACTTGATGCTCTCTCCCTCGTCTCGCTCTCTCTCTCGCTCTTTTTTCACTGCATCGTGAGGGCCCAAGACCACGTCTAGGAACTTAGGGGCTGGATTGCAGCCAGCCACCCTTGGGTGGCCCATGGGCTGCCTTAACGCTTGATTCGAATATACTTCGAGTGCCCATTCCATGGCAATGTGCGGGTGTGTGTTGGTGGTGTTTTTTTTTTTTTTTTTTTTGAACATGGTCACATATTCCGTTATCATATATATAATAAGGGCCACCAGGGTCTACACAAGCATATAATAGGGCCACCAGGCCTACACACAAGCAACAAAGAAGGGCCACCAAAGGCCTACACACAAGCAAAGCAAAAGGGGCCACCAAGGCCTACACACATGCAAAAAAGAGATAGGCGCCCCCGCGCTCTCCCCTACACTTGATGAGCGAGCGAAGGACTTTGGGTCCTAGGACCCTTAGTCCTTGCCCTCCCCGGGCCGGCCCCTGGCCTAGCACCCCCTGGTGCAATCACATCTGCCCCTCCCGTGGTTAACTCAAAGGCCTCACGCCTTGGGCCTTGGAGGCCACACCTCACACCACGGGTGCGGGGCCTTGCGCACCCGGGCCACCCGAGGGGCAAGCATTGGCCATGTGCCCAAGCTGCCCACAGCGAAAGCAGGAGCCTTTGAAGGGCCGGGTGCCGCAGGTAGCGGGGATGGAGGCCTTGGGGTTGAACGATGTAGCCTCGCGTGCGTGGCTTCGGGTGCCGCGAACGTAGGGGCCGTAGTTCCTCTTAGCCGCCGCCACATCCGCCGCCGCCTGTTTGAACGGGCGGGAGGTGAGGATGCTCTTCGCCTGGTAGAGCTGATAACGGTCGGCGGTGTCGAATCCAGCCGCGTCTGCCACCTGCAGCACCTCGAAGCGCTTCATGATGAGCGCTTGTCCTTGGGCGAGGTGGGTGAGCGCGCCGTCGACGTCTCCATGGCGAGCCTTGAAGTCGGCATGCTTCAGGTAGGCCAGCAAGGCCTCGAAGACTTCAGCTTGCTCGCGAACACCCTTGCGGGTGAACGATGCTGCAGCCACGCTCGGGTTAAGAGACGGGAGAGGCGGGAGATGTCCGAGGATGGTAGGAAAATTGGCGTCGTGAGGGGCCTCACCATTTTCGCTGTCGTTGTCGCTGTCTCCCTCGGGCTCTTCAACAGGTGCCGCGGGTGCCGGGTTGAAAGGCGTCTCAGCATGGCGCGGCATCTTGGTGGCGCGAGGAGGCGGGGATGACTCGCATTTCTTCTCCGGTTTTGCAGATAAATTTGTATCGTTTGCCGAAATCAAACGAGTTGCTGTAGTTTGTTGCTGCTGCTGTAACAGCGCCAGAAGCGCCGTTATCTGGTCCGGCGACAAACTCGGGGGGGTCGAAACTGGGGCGGGTGCTGACGCGTGGCCGTCCGCCTTCGCCGGCGCGCGACTGCCTTGACCGCGCGTGCCCGTGCCACGCGCGAAGTCAGACGCGGCTGGCGTGACGTCAGCCGCGTCTGTTTCTTTCTCGCCAGGCGCGTGCTCCACGCGCTGCTCCTGACTGGGGCGAGGTGCAGGAGCGGGAGTCCCGCTCGGCTCTCCTCCTCCGAGCAGGACCTCCACAGCAGTGGCAGGCGCCTTCCTTTTTGGGCGTCGGTCGGGTTCCCCGGACTTTTTTCCGGACTCAGAAAAAGGTCGGGCGTTCCCGTTCGTAGCCTCGTCGTGGTTGGTATTAGTAGGAGCCATCGTTGACAGGTTGTGGTTGACGATGTCCGTTAGAAGAGTAGAGGGAAAATGGAAGCGAGGGAGGGAACGTGTCTTCGCCAGCGTGACGAGCAAAAACTGAACTTGAAAGTTAAAAAATGAAAACATGGGTGAGGCCAAATGGCCGAAACTCCTTTTGTAGTCGGAGAAGGGCGAATAGCGCTTCGACGATGCCTTCAAGTGCTGCGTACAAGCTGCTGCGCTTTCACAATAAGTTTTAGAAAGTGTAACACTTTCGAAAATATACATATTGTAAAATTTCTCTCGTACATGTCGATGCCTGAATTTGTTGTCCGTTCATGCCATTCGCCGTATTAATCGACGATGCTGGGATGTTCGGATGCGATCATGGAATCAACATGGTACGCACACCTTTGATTTCACATTTAGGGAGGTGTCGTTCATTAGTGATTGTTTATCCACTTTTCGAGGCATCTGTTCAAAATATACGTGCTTCAAAAAGTGCATAAAAATCATTTTTGAAATGACATCCCCAAAATGTGAAACCAATTATATAGGGTTGCTACGCAACCCAAAAACGGGAGGGTGGTTCAGAACAAAATTAGGGGGCCGTCAGAATGAGACGAGCAGCAGAGGGCCCACCCACTTGGCCACTGCCCCCCAAGCAAAAGAGCAGCACCGCACCACCATAGGAGGCAGGCAACTGCTTTGGTCTGGTGTGGGAATTAGGCTGGCAGGCAGTTGTGCAAGTTGGATAAGGATTAGGTTACCCTTCCAGCCTTTTGGACCTTTTTTGGACTCACATGTTTCCCGCCCCGCATCGTCAATCATCGCCGACTAATCTGTCGTGCGAGTTGGCCTAGGTTTCTCAGCATCGGGCGACTTACACTTCCATGGCCCACAGACCGGATTGATGTTTTCTCACGATTAGTTTTTTCCTTTCGTGATATATGAGTAGGTGAGTAAGGTTTCTGATTTGCATTCTCGAGCTAAAAAATAGATTACCACTCCGAGTCGCACATCCGCATTTTGAACAACGCTTATGGCCTTTCATCACCCTATGTTCCAGGTACTAATACGTCAACATGTTACGCTTAATATTTCTAGGAGCCGCGATATTTTTGGTCAGCTGGTTGGTAAAATGGCTTTACCCTCTGGTGGCTTACTGGCGACGCGGTAACAAGTTTCCAGGGCCCAAGTGCCAGTCATTTTGGGGGAATATAAAGGAGATTCAGGACGCTGGCGGCATGAGTGGAATGAAAAGTGAGCTATTTGGGTTCTTCCCTGCTTCCCCTTCTAGTTTTGAGACGTCTCAAAGCTTTCCCTGCTTTCCTTCTCCTCTTTCGCCGCCTTCAACCCCATCTCTTCCGTTTCCACTAAGGACTTCCTAGGAGCGAGCCCTGAACCGCCGGTGCTCTGTGCTTTGCTCGGAGAGAGCTGAAATTGTATGTACAGATAATAAAACATTTTGAGCTTACTATATTTGCTGGTCGCAGATATTCTCGCCGCTACACACAACGAACAAGGCAAATTCTGACGTCAATTCAGAACGTCTTCCCCTTCCCTTCCTCTCCCCCCCTCCCTCCTTCCTCACTCTCTCCCTCTCTCTCGCGTGCGCGCCCCTCGCGCGACTGTTGAATCGCGGTTCGCAGATGTGCTCGCCTTTGAGTCGACTCAAAAGCAAAATCAGACGTCTTCCCCCCTTTCTGTTCTCCCCCCACCTTCCTCCCCATCTCGTTCCCTCGCGTGCGCGCGCCTCGCGCGACTGTCGAATCGCGGATTGCAGATGTGCTCGCCGCAATGCACGCCAAGTACGGTCCGGTCGTGCGCCTCTGGCTGAACCCCGTGAGGCTGCTGATATCGGTGGAGGATCCGCAGCAGGTTCGCAACGTGCTCATGCACGCACGCGAGCGGTCCCCGCTGTACTGCCGCGTGATTGAAGCGTGTCTCGGGAAGAACTCGGCTTGCTTCTCCACCTTCATTCAGGCAAGTTCCGCGAAACAAATCTGCGAACCTATGAGGACCCGTTTCTTTTCTGTGGATAAATTGTTTAATTTTCCTGTGAATTTGTATCGTTTTATTTTATTCTTATTTTCTGTGCTTCTTTTTTCCAGTAGCTTGCTCTAATTTTGGGAGTTTAGCTATGTGACACTTATTCAATGCTCTACTCTGTGATACGCAGCCGCGGCCCCGCCCTCCGGACGCACTTCCCCTCTCCTCGGTTCCTGTCCTCAATGCGCCTCCTCACTCCCTCGCCTGAATTAGTCTGCCTGCAGCCCCGTGCGCGGCGGTCGTTTCTGGACTACCACTGCCACACAACGCTCAAGTTCCAAGTGCACGAGGATGATCCACAAGTAACCATTTTTTTCACGCCCATTTCACCCCTTCTCTTCCCCCCTCTTCCTTCCCTCGTCCTCTCCCCGCCTGCTTCCAGCCCCGCGCGCGGCGGTCGTTCCTGGACTACCACTGCCACACGACGCTCAAGTTCCAGGTGCACGAGGTGGCGTGCCGCGTGGCTGACGTCACCGCGCGCGAGTGGGGGACGCTCTCCGCGTCTGGCGGTGAGCTGGACGTGACGCAGGCATGCAAAGACATGGTGGTGGGCGTTCTAGGAGGCTCCTTATTCGGCCCCGCGTTCCCCGACTCGGACCTGAAGGACCGCGTTGCCAGCGACTTGGAGTTTTTCGCGCACTCAGTGCAGGATTTCTCGAGCTTTGGTTACCTTCCGGTGTGGCTGCCAGCTTATCGGAAGCTGATGAGTGTAGCGGAGGACTATAGAGGCGCGATTCACCAGCTTGTATCGGGTACGTTTGCCAAGGACGTGAATCAGCAGAAGGGGGAGCATGGCGAGGGGTCAGGGGAAGGAGGGGTGGGGGGGGAAGCTGGTAGCAGCGGTGGTGGTGGGCAGGCCAAGGGCTCGGAGGGCCAGACTAAACGGGAGCAGCAACAGCAGCAGGAGGAACAGCAGAAGACACAGCAGCAGGAGAAGGAACAGGAGCAGCAGCAGCCGCAGCTGCTGAGGGAGAGCTTTCTCTCAGCTATGCTAGCAGAGCGCTCCGCTTTAGGACAACCCGTTTACACGCAGGAAGTAGCGCAAGCAGAAGCAGCAGCACTCATGTTTCATGGATACCTGCTCGTGCCTGCGCTCTTAAAACGCGTACTTGTATGCCTCTCGCTACACCCAGAGGTGCAGGACCGCGTGTTTCGGGAGATCAGAGCTGTGTGCGGTAACGAGGCGCCTAAAGACGAGGATTTGCTGCGTTTGGATTATCTGAATGCGGTGATATACGAGGCAGCGCGGTGCATGCCGGTTTTCCCCATGCTCACGCGCGCTGCGATGAACGAGGATCTATGGCTGTCTGCTCCCAGCAGCAGGGAGGATCAACGGCTGTCCGCCCCCAGTGGCTTTGGCAGTGGTGGTGTTGGTGCTGCTAAAGGGTGGGAAACGGGTGGTGGTAACGGCACTGAGGGAGGTAATAACGGGGATGGGGTGGGTGGTGGTGGTGGTGGTGGTGGTGGTGGTGGTGGTGGTGGTGGGAGCGACAGCGGCAGCAGCAGCAGCAGCAGCAGCGCGTTCCACTTGGTGCCGTCAGGGGCGATCCTAGCCTTGCCCATATACCAGCTACAGCTGAACCCTGCCCTGTGGGGCAGCGACGCAGCAGAATTCAACCCTGATAGGTTCATCCACTTCCGCTGGCATGGCCCTCAGCAGCAGCAGCAGCAACAACAACACCACCACCACCTGCACCACCACAACCAATACGAGCCCCGTTCTCACTCCTTCGCCAAACGAGACACCCACGTGGGCGTGGGGCTAGGCCCTATGGGCCACTGGGAGGGGCTGCAGAGGTTCCCAGGCGAGGGGACAGGGCGGGAACAGGAGGAGGGAGGGAGAAAACCGGGGGAAGCAGCGGGTGTGAGAGGTGCGAGTCCGTGGAGGGAGGGGAAGATGGTACCCGGGCATGACTATGAGTTTGTGGCGCCCGAGCCGGGGCCGCAGTTCCTCATGTTTGGTGCAGGCGCTCGGTCGTGCGTGGGGCAGCGGCTGTCGCTGAAGATCATCCGCGCTGCTGTCGCCATCCTGCTGCACCGATTCGAGGTCCGCAGCCGCACCCCTGCCTTGCTCACCACCACTGCCACCTGCTTTTGACCTCTTTTGTGGGTGATTTTTTTTTTTTTTTTTTTTTTTTTTTTTTTTCCAAGCATGTCTTCGTATTTTGGTGGAGCACCCGCGCCTGTTCGTGAGGCGACTAGAAATCATTCCGTTCAGTTTTCCCCACCTGTCCCCGCCGCCAACAGTTCTCCATGTCGCCAGACATGCCCAAGGAGTTTGACACGCGGCTCGAGTTCATGGTGCTGCACCTGCACCCCACGCCGCGCCTCAAGCTTGCTGTTCGCTCCTAGATCCCCGCAACCTTTCCTACCTTCTCCTCGCTTTTCCTTGCTCCTCCTGAATCCTCATTGCCGCTCATAGCCTCTCCTATTTTCTCCGTTCCTACATCTGCTTTCGTTTCTCCTTCCACCTTTCCTCCACCTTTTCCCCTCCTTTCCACCGCCCGTCCACTGCTCTGCCTCTGCCTCTCCTTGGATCTGGGCAGCACCTTTTCCCTCGCATCACATACACCTTAGTTCTCACGACATCATCTGCACAAACAGCCTTACTACCCTTTATGACAGACATCAGCTTCCCTGGTTCTAATGGCTGGTTCAGTTCCAACTGGCCTTGCCGCACAGATCTTCACAGCAATACCACCTCTTTAGTGCAACATCAGGACGAGCTCCAGTTTAAACATCAGACTGAGCATCAGCTTTGGTCAGCTTCTGTGGCTGGTTGGTTGTTACAATCACCGAATCACCCCGTGTGGTTACCGCCTCTTGCCGACACAGTGCAACGACTATCAGTATCTGTCGTGCCAGGGGCAGCAGCACGTTTTGCTGCAGCCGCGCTGCGATGCTGTCGCCTCGTTGCTACCGCACCGCCTCATTGCTGTCGCTTCGTTTCACAACATCGCCAGGTGGTTCTTGAGTGAGTCCGGCTCAACATCGCCATGGCATTGTTTCACAGCACCGTGTTCAGTTCAGTGCTGCAAGCGTCAGAAGCAGCGCGTTCAGCTGAACCTGAAGGCACTGCTGCTGCAGCAGCAGCGGCGACGGCGGCAGCGGCAGCAGCGACGGCGGCAGCGGCAGAGTCTGCAGCAGCAGTGCGGTTAATGCGCTTGATTCTTTGTCCTCACCTTTGTCCCAACACCTGTGGAGCCGAAGGTGTTTTTGGGGGAAGGAGCCGGCGGATTCACCACCACTCCTTCCCCCGCCTTTCTTGTTTGTGTTTTGCACGAGCAGTGCAGTACAGACATTTGTGGCGCACGGTTGCCTGTGACTGTGTCTGTGCCTGTGCCCATGCCTGTGACTGTGTCTGTGCCTGTGCCCATGCCTGTGACTGTGCCTGTGCCTGTGCCTGTGCCCATGCCTGTGCCTGTGTCTGTGCCTGTGCCCATGCCTGTGCCTGTGTCTGCCTGTGCCCATGCCTGTGCCTGTGTCTGTGCCTGTGCCCATGCCTGTGCCTGTGACTGTGCCTGTGCCCATGCCTGTGCCTGTGTCTGTGCCTGTGCCCGTGCCTGTGCCCGTGCCTGTGCCTGTGCCTGTGCCTCGTGCTCATGTCTGTGCCCTGCCCGTCCACACCCGTGGCTATGCTCATACCTGTGCACATGCATGTGCTGTGCATGGGCCTCTGTTTTATTTAGGGAACTTACGCTGGTGTCATAGGAATCTACCATCTTGGTTTGTCTGGCCGCATGTCCGGTCTCAGATGTTCTTTTATGGAGTGTGCACCGCACCTGGTTGTGTCTCTCCATTTGACTGACCTTCGTGATGGCAGGTGTTGCTGCTGCCAGCTGACCAGTAGGTAGGATGAACGGACATCACTTTTTAGGTTGCTAGTGATTGGTCCTAGCTTGTTAACTTACAGTTTGTTTGCAGAGCAGCCGGCGGGCAGGTATCTACTCTTCTAGATGTGTCATGCTTGCTGCTATGCTAATTGTCAGCAGGTTGCCCACTCGTAGCTGCTGCTCTTCCTTAAATAAGCTCTGCTATTGTTACATAAAGCAAGCGAGGTATACCATACCAACCAACCAAGAAAACCATCCCCACCACTCTATGCTACCCACCATCCAGTCTTTCTCTTCATTATCTTGTACCGCAAGTCTAAAACAGTATAATTCTGCACTAGCATATTTTATTTCTTCCCATACACGTGTATCTCCCCTGCTCCTCCCCTTAACTAGCACCTCATTTTCAGCCACCCCACATCGGCTGCGTCAACAGGAGCCGATGCAAAAATCTTCTCCCATGCGCCCTCATCCCCGCCCGGACCCTCTCCTTCCAGAGACTTCATCTCAAACACCTCGTTTTCAGCCGCCTGCACTCCCAACACCTGCACACACCCCTCTGCCAGCACCACTCTGCGTTGAGTTTTGAGGCGCCTTAAAACTCAACTCAAAGCCACCTTCACACCCAGCGCTTGCACACACCCCTCTGCCAGCACCACTCTGCCATCCCCCTCACCTCTAAGTTTCTTCACTTGCCAGCAGGAGCAGACGCAAAAATCTTCTCCCATGCACTCTCATCACCCCCCGGTCCCTCTCCTTCCACAGACAGCATCTCAAACACCTCGTTTTCAGCCGCCTTCACTCCCAAAGCCTGCACACACCCTTCCGCCAGCACCACTCGGCTTGTCTCCCCTGAGAAAGTATCACTCCCTCTCTTCACCTCCACCGCCTTTCTCATCCCGGCTGTTGCCTTGAGTAGTGTGTTCAGGTCGTAACTGGTGTAGGGCCCGTCTGTCAGCCTGCCCGGGCGCAGGATAGTGTATGGAATGCCCGAGGATTTCACGAGGTCTTCGGCCATTTTCTTGTACTTGAGCACCCCGAAGAGGTTGAGGATGGAGTAGGGCAGCTGGTTGTAGCGCTCCACGCCCGCTGATGAGACGAAGACGATGCGGGACAGGTCTTTAGGAAGAGCCGCTAGGAGGTTCTTCACCCCGATGTAGTCTGGTGGACGGGGAGGGGGTTGGGGAGGTTGGGGAGAAGGGAAGAGTAGGAATGGGAGGAATTGAATAAATGGAGTAGGGCAGCTGGTTGTAACGCTCGATGCCGGCTGATGAGACAAAGACGATGCAGGAGAGTCGCGAGGGAGCGCCGCTAGGAGGTTCTTCACCCCGACATAATCTGGCGAAAGGGAGGGGGTGGGGGGAAAATGAGAGTGGGAGGAAGCGAATGGATGGAGTAGGGCAGCTGGTTGTAACTCTCTACACCGGCTGAGGAGACAAAGACGAGGTAGGGAAGGATTGGGGGAGAGCGGCTAGAAGGTTTGTCACTCCGATGTAGTCTGGGGAAGGGGAGGGGGCGGAGTGGGGGGGGGGAAAGGGGTAGAATAATTATGTATGAATGTTGCCGGGTAGCGTTCATTCAGTGCCAGGTGATGAGACGAAGGCAAGAAAGGAAAGGCCGGGGGGGAGTATTGTATTGAGGATTCTTGCCTTGGAGGGTTATTTGATTCTGAGAATTCTCAACATGAGTCCAAGCTGGGGGGATTGCTCGAAACGAAAGCAGTGCGAATCCATGACCCCCAACTAGTCGCCACTGGTGTTCCCCAATGCCCCCTCCAACATACCTCATTAACCGCATGCACAGGTAAGAGCAGAAAAATCGTGCTTAGTCACCTGTTTTCTCCGGCCTGTCGTCTCCGTCCCACCGTTCGGACGAGAAAGTAAGATTCGCGAATGGACCGTTACGAACATTCCTATCATCGAAAACATACCCGGCAAGATCGCAACAATAACCGAAAATCATGGAATGGAAAGTACCTGTTTGCCCCGGCCGGTTGTCGCCGTCCCACCGTTTGGACGGGAAAGCAGGAATCGCCAATGGTCCGCATCACAATAACCGAGAACACACCCGGTAACCGAAAATCAAGGAATGGCGAACGTACCTGTTTGCTCCGGTCCGTTGTCGCCGTCCCACCGTTTGGACGGGAACGCCGTCGTTCCGACGCACACGATCGCCGCGGAAATCCCGGCGAAGAGCGCGGGGGAGATGGTGCCGGGCTTGCGGAGATCTGCGGTCACGACCTGAATCAAATCCGCGGGCGCGTCAGCGAATAGCGACTCGGCTTTCTCGACGCTCCTAACTAGCGCGCGCACGGAGCGGTTCTTAGCTACGAGCGACGCGACGCATAGTTGACCCACGCCACCGGACGCGCCGACGACGAGTACTCGTTCTACTGGCGCGTTCGACGGCGACGAAGCAGGCGACGCGGCCTCGGGAGTGTCGCTCGCGGCTGCGGCGGAGATAACTGCGGCGCGCGAGTGAGTGGATTGGCGGCTGTGACGGTGTTGAGAGGCTGGTGCGGGAATTCCGCGGGTGGAGGGCGCGACGGACAACCGGAAACTGGAAACGCTGGAAATTGCGGGGAGAATGGTGGACGGTTGTCGAGTGTTTAAGCGGGCATTCGAGCGGAGTCTGGGTAGAGATCCCGCGATGGTCGACGGGACAGTGGAAGCACAAAGCGAGCAGCTGGGAGCGACGGCAGCCATTGCTAAATAAATAGCTAGGGTGTTCAAATTATCCTATTTCCCAGTCACCAGCCAGGACAGGTATGGAGGACTAAGGGGTGATTGTCAGACCTTCAATGCTTGATATATTTCGAAGAACAGATTCCAAGCAGAAGCAGCAGCAGGTTGCATCGCCTGCACTGAATTCCGTGATTTCTGGCACAATGCGAAAACTGGAGTTCGTGGTGCTGGTGCGTATCTGGCAGCTTGCGGCGAGGCCAATATTGTGCTTTGCCATTCATTCCAAATTGTGGATTTGTTACGCAGTTACTTTACATTTCTGAGCGAACCGCATAATAGCTCTGACGAGGGAAAACAAAATTACTACGGCGAAAAGAGCTGGAACATCTGCGGTGTGTCCCTTTGCGGAACCAGAAACACGACCACCAAAACACAGAATCACATTCTGTGGTGAATGGAAAGGCCACGTCAGACTTCGCGTCAACAACATTGGAATTTCTCGCTATTCGCATCAGTACCGTATTCTCGCTATTTCTCGCCTCAGTACCGTATTCGCTAAAATGTCTCTCGTTTAGACATATCAAGTTGACCTTTCTGTCTGGAAATATAAATCATACTTGAGCTTACCAGACATCTTCCAACCACCATCAACACCACCATCACCATCAGAGTCACATTATGCTCGTTGCCTCGTCGAGTCTTGCCTCCATGGATTTCATGGACCGTTCCATGTCACCGTGACGCCGTCGTCTGAATTCGGCCCGCCATGTCGCCTTTCCACGCGCAGTGGCGCGCATGGTGCGTCGTATCCGGTCATCTTCAGCGCGCGTTCCACACCAGTCCACTCGCCGTCGCCGCGTCGTTCCGAACCGTCCCGCAAGCGACGCGGCAATCAACAGGACACCTGAATAGTACCGATTACTACCCGCATCGTCCATCCGACCGTCCATTCGACCGTCCATCCGACCGTCCACCCGACCGTCCATCTGACCGTTCATCCTTCCGTCCATCCGATCATACTCATTACCTGGGAACCGTATCCTCGTTATGGCCTCGCCAGGTAGCCGTTGAGTCAACCCAACGGTCACTCACTCCACATCCTCGCCGTAGTCATAGTAGCCTCGCGTTTAGAGCAAGTGACTCGATTATTGGCCGTTGGGGTCAGCGGGATTATGGGGGTCAACGGGATTATGGGGGTCATGGGGGTTTCATCTCCCCGCGAGCACACACCTTGACGAGGCTTTTCTCGACCTCGCAGGGTGCTGACGTGGCTCAATCAAATCCTGAGGTCACTGCCTCAGCTGTTGGATTAGGAGAAGATGAGGAGGGCGACAATAGCGAGGTCGCAGAAGCGGGTGACAATAGCGAGGGTGCAGCAGTGGAGGCGGAGGAGCCAAGCATACCGGTTGTGGCGATGGCTGACAGCCGTCCGATCGTTGTGATCGTAGGGCGTCCCAACGTTGGGAAGTCAGCTTTGTTCAACAAGTAAGCAGCCTGATTGCACACCCACCGCAGATGCTTCTTTAAAGCTGCGTTCTACATACTAAAAGGTATTTTTGGGGGGCATTCCGGGTGCACACCCTAGGACGGATGCTGATTGGGGAACGAAATGACCATTTTCCAGAAATGAGGGAGCGAATGTTTCAAACAGAACTGGAGAATCCCGCCAGTTTTGTGAAAGGTTTGGTTGGGGGGTAGATATTTCGGGAGGAGAGGGTTGTGTTGGCAATTTCGCCACAACGTGCAACCAATCCGGGAAGGGGAGGAGATTGGCGGGAAACTAGAAGCCAATCCTGTTTCGCCCAATTTTCAGAGGTGAGGTTGTGTTGTCACAAAGCAGTAACTGCACCTCGCCACTCAAAGTTGGAGCGAAGCTAGGTGCTACCGTGTTTTCAAGTGATAAACCTAGGCCTCCCGCAGGAAGTATGTAGGCGACAGCTTAAAAATCCTTTTCCACCTTTCCACCCTCTGCCTTCCCCCTCTTCCTCATTGTGTTGGTTGGTACGAGCTCTGCAGGCTGATGCGGCGCAGGGAGGCCCTGGTGTGCGACACCCCGCAGGGCCACATGACCAGAGACGTGCGCGAGGGCGTCTGCTCCTTCTTTGGGCTCCGCTTTCGAGTTTTTGACACAGCAGGACTCGAACCCGCGACCTCTACCTCCCACCAGGGCCATGAGGGTAGTGGGGCGGGAGGGAGTGGTGGTGGGGGAAGGATTGTGGGATTTACTCCGAGCCTTCTGGGGAATTTACCAGAGGCGGATCGTGCGGCTATGGAGGCGTCGATTCTGCAACGAACGGCTGAAATCACGTCGTACTTGCTGGGGCAGGCAGCGGCTGTGCTGTTTCTCGTGGATGCCAGGTGGGTGTGCTGTGCAGTGTACTGTGCCGTGCTCTGATACCATGCAGCAAGATCCTTCAATCGTCTGCTTTCTTAATCTCCGTCCAGGTTTCCTTCTCTCCCCCTTTTTTCAGTGTACCCACACACTCCCCCCTCCCCTCCACCCCCAACCCGCCCTCCCCTTCACCACCCCCATCCCCCTCCACTGCCTTCTCCCCCCCCTTCCCCTCTTTGTTCTATATCGTCATTCATTCGCTCTCTTTCCTCTTCCCCAAGCTCGCCTTCTCCAGCGCTCACACATCTTGCTCTTTCTCTTTCACTCACACGCTTCTCCGCCCTTCCTCCCTCCCTCCCTCCCTCCCTCCCTCCCACCCGCCATCATTCATTGGAACCCCTTTCCTTAGAGCTGGCATTCAACCTGCTGACGTGGAGGTTGCTGATTGGCTGCGTCGCTCTGTGCCAAAGCACCGGGTGGTGCTGCTGGCGAATAAATGCGAGGGGCTGGGCGGCGACAGCACAGGCCTGCTGGCGTGCCACGTGGCAGAAGCCTATTCGCTGGGGTTCGGCGACCCGATCCCGATATCGGCCGAGTCTGGGGAGGGACTGGAGGACCTTTATGCTGCTGTGAAGGGACCGGTGGAGGAGAAAGAGAGGGAGGGGAGAGAGGAGAGGGAGGAAAGGCAGAGGGATTTGAGAGAGCGGAGAGAGGATATGGAAGGAAGAAAGATGGCCATTTCAGGTGAGCACATGCGGCTGTTTTAGGTGGAGGAAAATGTCTTTTTTTTTTCCATGTTTTCTGCTATGGATGCTCCAATGAGCAAGAGTGTGAGAGCTTCAAATCTGTATTCTCACGCAATCAATCGGATCAGAGGCTATTGTAGTACCAGAAGCCCTCTCTCAAGGCTTGTTTTTTGAGCCTTCTCAAAGATGAGAGGCTGTTGTAGGACTAGAAGCTCTCTTTCAAGGCTTGAGGCTTGAGGTGTGCGGATCATTGGACTGGCCCTGCCTGCTGCTTTTGAAGTGGGTGAGCTTCAGAAGAGATTCAAGCAACCTCGTGTGATGCGATGCTTGACTTTTGAGTCGACTCAAAAGTCAGCTTCAGAAGAGAATCAGGCAACCCCGTGTGATGCGATGCTTTCCCTCCTTCCGACGGCTCCCGTGGGGCAACACGGTGTTCTGTGCAGCACAGGGATGAGTCAACGTACAGAGGAGGCCGGCGATTTTGCGGCGTTGCCTGACAGCAGTGAGTGTTCTGATGCAGCGCTAAATGGTGACGCTGCTTATGCCGCTGTGGCTCTAGATATAACCACCTCACCTGCAGCAGAGGAGGAGGTGGTGGAGGAGGAGGAGGAGGACGACGACGAAGCAGCAGCACAAGCGTTGTTATCATCCTCAGCAGCAGAAGCAGCAGCAGCAGCAGAGGCGGCAGAGGCGGCAGAAACCTCAGAGATTCCGCTACAGCTGGCGATAGCAGGGCTGCCGAACGTGGGCAAGTCAACGCTGGTCAACTCGCTGCTGGGGGCTCAGCGCGTTCTGACGGGGCCGGAGCCAGGGCTCACTAGGGACGCTGTGCGCATTGGCATCACGTACCAGGGCAAGCCCATGTGGCTGGTGAGAGTGGGTTGGGGGAGGGGCGGGGAAAGGGAAGGGTGAGGAGGAGGGCACAAGTGGTGCTCACAGGGCCGGAGCAGGGCTGACCAGAGATGCTGTGCGCATTGGCATCACGTACCAGGGCAAGCCCATGTGGCTGGTGAGAGTCGGTTGGGGGAGAGGGGAGAGGGATGACAAGGGGGGGGTGGGGGTGCTGGGCGCTCAGCGCGTGTTGATGGGGTTGGAATCGGGGCTCACGAGGGATGCTGTGGGGTGTGTTTTTGAGAATCCTTATCCAGAATCGGGGCTCACTAGGGACGCTGTGCGCATTGGCATCACGTACCAGGGCAAGCCCATGTGGCTGGTGAGAGAAGGAAGGGGAGGGGGGGGGGGGGGAGGGCGTGGTGTTGGGGGGTGAGGGGAGGGCACAGCGTGTGCACACGGGAACTGGGACAGAGATGCCGTGCTGATTGGCATCACGTACCAGGGCAAGCCCTTGTGGCTGGTGAGATTGGAGGGTGGTGGGGTGGGGGGCATGACAAGGGTGGATGTTGCCAGGGAATGGAGCTGGGACTCACTACAAGGGCCCGTGTCACGACTTCTTTCTGAACTCCTCTGAACCGCTCTGAACCCCACGGCAGGTGGACACGGCGGGGTGGGTGAAGGCAGCGCAGGCGAGGCAGAGGGGGCCGGTGTCACTGGCGCGCATGGACATGGAGAGGAGCATTGGACGCGCGCACGTGGTGGTGCTGGTGCTGGATGCTGCCGTGGTGAGTGGATGTCTGATGTTGTTGTTGATGTTGATTTATGAGGCGCCGTGCAGATGCCGGTGTTGCTGTGGTGTCACTGGCGCGCATGGTCATGGAGAGGAGCATTGGACGCGCGCACGTGGTGGTGCTGGTGCTGGATGCCGCTGTGGTGAGTTGAGGAATTCACGCAGCGGGTTCTGTGGTAGGTTCATCCGAAATTCACGCAGCGGGTTCTGTGGTTGGTTAATCCGAAATTCACTAACCATCCTTTGGGTGTGTGCCATGGAGAGGAGCATTGGACGCGCGCGCAGGTGCTGGTGCTGGATGCTGTCGTGGTGAGTCGATGTATGGGGTGCAGTGCGGTGCAGCAGCAGCATCCATCACTCTCGTCATGCACGGAGACGTGATTGAAGAAGTATTTTGAGACGTCTCAAAGCACTTCTTCAATCACGTTGGGGGTGCAGTGTGTGCGGTGCAGCAGCATCCGTCACTCTCTTCGTGCACAGGGCACTTCATGAGCTGTGTAACTGCAAGCCGCTATTATTGAGGCACCGCAAAAACAGCTTCATTGCAGCAGGGTGTGGACGTGACTCCTTCTACTAGATATCACTTTTGAGAAGTCTCCTAGAACCCTCCTGCCAGAGAGCTGCTGCATCCCCCCCTCTCAATTACAAGGTGACTTTTGAGTCGACTCAAAAGTCACTTCAGAGAGCTGCTGCATCCCCCCCTCTCAATTACAAATCGCTCCGCCCCCCAGTTTCCATCTGATTTCATTGAGAAGCAAAGCCTTTCATTTCCACCCAATTACGTTCTGCCAGGTGGCGGAAGAGGAGAAGTCGCTCAAGACAGCAGAGAGGGCGCTGGCGCGGTGGGTGTGGGAGGAGGGGCGCGCACTGGTGGTGGCGGCGAATAAGATGGACGCAGTGGGGGGGGACAGGGACAAGCGGTGGGTGCGCAAGAAGGTCAGGCGGGCCGTGCCTTTGGAGATCGCTGCCCTGCTGCCGCAGGTGGGTGAGCGAGGGAGGTTGGAAGCTTTGTACGGAGGGGGTGGGCGAGCGAGGGAGGTTGGAAGCTTTGTACTGAGGGGTTGGGCGAGCGAGGGAGGTTGGAAGCTTTGTACTGAGGGGGTGGGCGAGCGAGGGAGGTTGGAAGCTTTGTACTGAGGGGGTGGGCGAGCGAGGGAGGTTGGAAGCTTTGTACTGAGGGGGTGGGCGAGCGAGGGAGGTTGGAAGCTTTGTACGGAGGGGGTGGGCGAGCGAGGGAGGTTGGAAGCTTTGTACTGGGGTAATCTGCTGGTGGTGGCGGCCAATAAGATGGATGCGGTGGGGGGTGACTGGCAGGGACAAGCGGTGGGTAAGGAAGAAGGTCAGGCGGGCCGTCCCGGTGGAGATCGCTGCTCTGCTGCCGCAGGTGGGTGATGAGGGCTGGTGTTGGAGTGTCACTAGAGGGACTAGAGGGGCGGCAGGGACAAGCGGTGGGTGCGCAAGAAGGTCAGGTGGCCCGTCCCGCTGCTCTGCTGCCGCAGGTGGGTGGGGGATGGGGGCAAGGGTACCTAAGTGGAGTGAAGGATTTGTGCTGTGTTGTTGCCATCGCAGACCGTGTCAGACGGTCCAGTTGAACAAACTAATTGCTGCCTGTCCAGGTGAACAAACTAATTGCTGCCTGTCTAGGTGAACAAACTAATGCTGCCGCTCGTTCCCCTCCACTCTCAGGGCGCACCACGTGCCGATAGTGCTCACCTCAGCGCTGCATGGGGAAGGGGGCAAGGAGCTGATGCTGGCGGTATCAGTACGCGTCAGTCTGTGTCAGGCCGTGTCAGGCCGTGTCAGGCCGTGTCAGCACTGCCCTTTCCTCCCCCTCCCCCCTCCAGGTGCACAACGTGCCCTTAGTGTTCACGTCAGCACTGCATGGCGAGGGAGGCAAGGAGCTGATGCAGGCGGTGTCAGACGCGTACGACCGGTGGAACACCATGCTGCCTGCTGCACGGCTCAAGCACTGGCTGCCACAGGTGAGCCTGGAGACAGGTGACAGGAGCTTCACTCAGTATGACAGGTTATACTGATTGCTTATTCATTTCGATTGCCGTTCCATTCCATGTGCTTCACTCGAGCCTGCATACTGAGTGAAGCTCCTGAGTGCTTACCGATACAGCTCGCTGGTCCAGCCATTCCCACTCCGTTCAAACTCCCTCCATCTCCCACTCCGTTCAAACTCCCTCCATCTCCCACTCCGTTCATGAAGGTCGTCGTTCAAGAAACCCCCTCCATCTCCCAACTTTGTAACTGTGTTGGTACAGAGAGATTGTGTGGATTTTTTTGTCCACCAGTACGCATCATGCCTTCTTAGGTGCCTAATATTTCCTCCTATCGTTGGTATACTGCTTTTGTGGAGATTCTTACCCACCTGTCCGAACACATTCATGCTTTAAGTACTCCCCTTCCCCGCCCCCCGCTACTTATTCTCCACCCTATCTCGCCTGCCCTACCCAGACCCTGAGGAAGCTTCCTGGCTCGTGCACTGCAGCTTCCGTAAAGAGCATTGTGCAGGTGAAGTCACGACCGCCCACCTTCTTGGTCCGTGTCACCGCTGCTGCTGCAGGGGACCGCTCTCTCGCCCGCTTCTTCTCCACCAGAATTGCAGCTGACTTTGGGTTTGATGGCGTGCCGGTGCGTGTGGTGCTGCGAACAAAGGAGGGCACCAGATGGTGATGGATGGATGGTGGTGGCTGTGTGGGGGACAGTGGGGTTAGTGCTGCTGCTTTTTCTGCTGCTGCGGGGGGGACTGGTCCCTCACGCGTTTCTTTTCCACCAGGCTCGCAGCTGACTTTGGGTTTGACGGCGTGCCGGTGTGTGTGGTGCCAAGAACCAGGGACGGCACCAGATGGTGATGGCGGTACCGTGGTTGGATCACATGCCTCTCCATTAGGATAGCAGCTAGATTAGGATTGCCCCATTGACGTCAGAAGTGCAAGTTGCTTTGAAAACTAATCAACCCAGAAAATATGGGTTGACCCTTGAAAGGTGAAAGATTCTTTGTTGCCACGAGGGATTGGCTTATGCCAAGGCCCCCCGGCCACAGGTCAGGGCAAGAGGTGAGACTCAGGGCACAAGCCTAATCCATGTGCTAATTCACATGCTAACTGGTGCGTGAAAACCCCATCGGAACTGGCAATGGATGCATGTCCTTTCTTTTTAGCGTCACGTCTACATTCCTAGTAATATGCACCAGCGACTAGGCAGCTTAGTATCCTTAAACCCCCGCAAAACTGAGGCTGCTTATCGCACAGAAGCACCAACACCTTGTCACTCTGTATAATTGCCATTCCGAGTCCAGTCAGCTGACCCTGAGTGGGTGTGAGCCGGAGCAGCTTCCCTGGCGCCGTGCTGCTCCCCCAGCAGAATGGACCTGCCCACAACCGATTCTTGAGGCGCCTAAGAACCATCTGTCTGTATACTGGCCGTCCACTCAGACTCGGATCAGCTGAGAAGAGTGGGTGTAATCCTGGCAGCTTCCCTGGCAGCGCGCTGCTCCCCGAGCAGAATGGAGCCGCCCACAGCCGCCCCCACAATGCCCGCCTCGTTGCGCATCTCCGCCGCCACTATGGGCGTTCCCCCAGGCACTGACAGCAGATGTAGGAACTGCGGGGTGGGGGGAGTGGAAAGGGGTGGAGGGTGTGCGAAACGTCAATAAGCAGACTATGGGCGTGCCAAGAGGAAAAGGGGATCCAATGGGTAACAGGATTCGAAACAACTCATCAGCTCCAGTCCAGCAATGAGCGGGTGCACTCCAGGGGAGTCACTGCAGATAGAATGAGGACACGAGGCAAATGTGGGAGAGCACAACTGGCGTTGCATGCGTGCTTTCTGCTTAGCGTACTCGACCCTCATCTCACCTTCTCATCTTTCTTGCTGATGCCTCCACCAATCACCTGCAAGCAACGGCACAGCACCACACAGCACATAGATATTGTCAGCTTGAAAACATCGAGACGCAACCACGAACGAACGCTGGAGGAAAGGCTGCAATGCAGTGCGCTTCTACTCACTATAAGGTCCGTGCAGTGCGCCTTTACTCACTATAAGGTCCGTGCAGTGCGCCTCTACTCACTATAAGGTCCGTGCAGTGCGCCTCTACTCACTATAAGGTCCGTGCAGTGCGCCTCTACTCACTATAAGGTCCATGCCGTAGGCCTATACTCACTATAAGGTCCGTGCAGTAGGCCTATACTCACTATAAGGTCCGTGCAGTAGGCCTATACTCACTATAAGGTCCATGCAGTAGGCCTATACTCACTATAAGAGCTGGAGGTATGCTCCTTGGGCGCCAAATTCTTATCGATAACCTGCACCTGTACCTGTTGCAGTGGCCTGCACTGCAGTCTAGAGTCATTGCGGCTAAAGGTAATGCTTCACGCACAACAGCTACTCATCCCCCACCCCCACCAGCTAATATTCGTTGTCCCCTTAACACTGAGACAGTGTCTACCCCGCCCAGCCCACTTCTTCCAGCTCATCTCCAACTTCTCCGCACCACTAACAGTACGCCCATTTTGTACACCCTGTACACGATACAGCACTTAGTACTCACTATAAGATCCGGCTGGAGGTAATGCTCCATGTGCGCCAGGTACTCATTCACGCGCCCAGCCCACTTCTTCCAGCTCATCTCCAACTTCTCCACACCACTAACAGTACGCCTATTCTGTACAATTTGTACACGATACAGTACTTAGTACTTACAATTAGATCCGGCTGGAGGTAATGCTCCATGCGAGCCAGGTACTCGTTCACCCGCCCAGCCCACTTCTTCCAGCTCATCTCCAACTTCTCCTTCACTGCTCCTGAGGCCACCTTCTCGGCAATTTCCCCGTTCACTTCTATGTGCCCCATCTCTAGGTTCGGCACCAGATGCCCGCCCACGAACAGTGCCGTGCCTATCCCCGTGCCGAACGTGGTCATCAGGACCGTGCCTTCCCGCTGCAAGGGTCGGCCGGCGCCAAACCTCATCTCGGCGAATCCTGCTGCATCTGCGTCGTTGATTGCTGCCACCTGGCAGCCCGTGGCGCGTTGGACGAGATCGACGGCGTTGATGTTGATCCAGGACTTGTCGACTGAGGAGGCATGGCGGGGAGCGAACGTTGGTCCGGAGGTTGTGGGGTTGGAATGGGGAAACAAGTGCGGATGAGGAAAAAGCTGAATCCATGGTCTTATACAAAGCATTTGTTCACGGATTCTTCTATTTCTGTTCGCCTTATTCTGGTTAAGAACAACGTTTCCCCTAAGATGATTCATCGGTTCAGAATGCTTCCATTCTGTTATCCCCATTCTGGTTATTGAGTGCACTCACTGTTCGCAGCACTGCGGACGATGCCACGTCGGACGACAGACGGAACGCCAATTCCGATTGGTCCATCCCACTGGCAAGGTATTCGGAAGGAGACGGGAAGAATGAAGGAAGTTTTAAGTCAAAGAAACGCCACGAATGAATGAGCAAGGGAAAACAATAGGGCCTGTATGTTCGCAAGTAGTGACCACGCCATGCGACAGGGGGCTGGCCAAAAACAAAAATGCTTCCAACCTAGCATTTGACGGCAAGTGAACTCACTCGGAAGTGGTCCTTGATCTGCCTGATGACGTCAGCGACGGCCTGAGGCGTGGCGGGATTGGGCGTGGGGATTCGGTAACGCTCCAGCAGCAGCGTTCCCGTCGCCACGTCCACCGGCGCTCCCTTGATTCCCGTCCCGCCAAAATCCAATCCCAAGACGATGGACAACTCGTCCTCGTGGTGCCGCTCCCGTAGCATGATCTCCCGCCAATGCTGCGGATCGCGGTGAAAGAGCTCCATTGGGGGTACCGGCTCATTGGAATGGACAATGGGCGTGGTGGATTCGTGCTGGAATTGCAACGTGGAGCCGAGATTCGACGAATTGGAGGGAGGTGGGGTCAACGGGACAGCCGCTGTGGAAGCGAAGATTGGAAATGCGGACTTGGTATTCTGACACGCGCGAACAGTAGAAGTGGCGAGCTTGAGATTGGTCTTTCGCCAAGAGTGCAGAGGGACGAGTTGACCAGAATGATGCAAGGAGGCCATGGCGGAGGCCGGACTCGAGTGCAATGAGGATGAATGCGCAGCAGCGCCTGAGACTGAACGAGACAATGCGACGGGAGAAACTGAGGCTGACAGGGAGGCCGCCATAAAACGGGCAATTTTTTAAAATGTAGGTTTGGAAGTCGAGTTCTGCGGGGAGAAGGAGCTGGACGATCCCTGCAGCAAACAGCAGATGGGTTTCGGATGGGAGCAGAAAACGGTATGAAGCAAATGTGAATGGCTACTTGATGCTGCTCACCAAAAATCTGTCTGCTTGAAATTTGGGATTTCGGATTTTGGGTGTGGCAGCAGCTGCAGCATTTCCCAACGAGCGACAGCAACGGAACAGTAGGGGGAAATGAGGGGGAGGGGAGGAAGGAGGGGAAGGACGGATGGGAACGGGGGAGGTGGGGGGGAAATGAAGATGATGTAAGTGAGGGGAGGTGAGGGGACAGCGAATCATTTTCAAGCACGGCGGGGCGGAGATAAGAAGCGCGGCGGAGCAAAGCCCGCCAAGCCAAGACGACATTCCGAGTTACCGTTGTACATGCTCGCGTTTTTCGCGAATGGGCATTTGAAGGAAATCGCATGGCATGGCATCTCAATTGGCCATGCCCATGCCCCGTCGACAAACCGCACATCCACCTCGAAAGTCCGCGTTCCTTCGTGGTCATTGCAACCGCTGACGTGTTATTGACCTATGACGAGTAAAGAGAATATTCGCCAAATTCTTTTAGTAATAGCTCTATTATTGTGCGCTCTGATATCCTCTAGTACCTTATGTAGGGGACAAATCATAGCCTTGATAAGGTGGTACTACCTACCGTATGTAAGAGGCATGTCACATCATAGTCAAACTGCTTGGCAATGTTCCTCTCTAATCATATCCCGCACTCTTTCCTGCAGCACTTCATACGTCTGAGTCACCTCTATCTTCGCCCCTGACAGTCTGTGATAGAACCTCTCATACGATCTCCCCGCACCCTCCCCCCCCCCCTTGCGAAAAAATATAATATTCTTCCCACCAAAGTAGCTAGACAGCACGGATGTTCCCCCTTGCACGCTGATAAAACAGGAGCTTCGGGCCATCATTCGAAACTGAACCTCGTTGAAACTTAAGCTCGGCCAAGCCTCGCGAATCTGCTGCATGGTTCGGAACCGAGCCTGCGAACCAAACTCCTGAGCCAGCCTTGGGTGGTCCCCCAAATCAGCCAAGTCTGCTTGCTCCACATCTGTCTTGACCGAATCCCCAGGCCGGTTATAGACCACGTAATACCCCTTATTGAGAAACTCCCGCGTGATGTTAAGGAGGGTTGGAATGTCAATAAAATTAACGGGGGGTTCCAGCCATTCAGTCTCATACTTGTTGCTTATAATCACAAGCGGAACCCCCCCTACAGGAACATCAAGCCACACCCGGCCCAACTCACGCGTCCTGTACACTAACGGGGGTGGATGCCAGTACTGTGGAATGTCACTGTGATGAAGCCCCTGTGTGAAACCATACTGTGTAATCCAGTTGCGGTCGCTGGAGCGTTTACAGTCTGGGTCTGAGGAGTGGTTTGGGCTGAAATAGTAGAGGAGAGAGAGTGGGACACCGCAAGTCTTAGTGGATCTAAGAGTTCCGTTGAGGAAATGCCAGTAGGCATGTGGTAGGACTGCAATAAGCTCGTACCCGAACTCGCCCGTATAGAAGAGGTCTATAGCGGCAGGGATGGATTTGTCAGGTGGTGGGGTGGGCGAGGGGTTGAAGGAGGAATTGCAGGGGCAGACCCATGGGCGGGGGGTGTCGTCTGAGTGAGGAAGGGGCGGCAGGGAGCAGGGGGGTGGAAGGGGAAAGGTACATTCATTGGTTCAGTGAACATTATTGCAGGGACAGACCCATGGGGGGGGAGGGGGTGTAGTCTGGGTAAAGGGGCGGAAGGGAGCAAGTGGGGGGGGGGAGGGAGAGAATGGTTTGAAGGAGGGAGGTAAAACACAATGCTTTGAACATGACTTAAACAAGAAATCAAGAGATTGTGCACGAGCACGGGCGGACACAGGGGCAGGGGATGTCGACTGGGGAAGGGGGTAAACGGACGCAGGGAAGGGTAGAAGAGGCGGAAAGGGGCAGAAGGAGAGAGGTAAGGAGGAGGGAGGTAACAGGCATTGCTTAGAAGATTGCTTGAGAAGAATTTATCACATGAGAAGATTCATGGAAGGGGGGATGTCTGGTGAAAAGGGCAGGGAAAGGGGGGAAGGGCGGAAGGAGCAGAAGGAAGGAAGGAAGGAGGTGTGTGGCATTGCTGAATCCTGGCTTTAGCAAAACTCTAGAGGCGCCTCAAAAGCAAAAGGAGCGGAAGGAATGAGGCGTCAGGCATTGTTGAAACCGTGGCTTTAGCAGAAAGCACTGCCGGGGCTGAACGGGAAAGCGAGGTGATGGTTGTGTATGAAAAGGGAAGGCGTGGAAAAGGGCGAACAGGGAAGCGGTGAGGATATCCTGAAGAAGGGCGAACGGGAAAGGGAGGCGATGGATTTGAGATTGGCAGATGGGTCTGGTAGTGGGTTTGGTAGGTAGTAGATGCTGGGTTTGGGTGAAGCGGGTGTTATGGCAGGTGAGTGGCTGTTAGCGGGGACGGGCTGAGTGACTGACATGGATCAGTGCCCCCACGTGAATGCGAGATGAAGCACGAGGGAGGGAAGAACGGGGGAGGAAGCAGAGTGTGCAGTGAAGAGCTGCATGGATGGATGGATGGATGGATGGATGGATGGATGGATGGATGGATGGATGGATGGATGGATGGATGGATGGATGGATGGATGGATGGATGGATGGATGGATGGATGGATGGATGGATGGATGGATGGATGGATGGATGGAGGGATGGAGGGATGGATGGATGGAGGGACGGATGGATGGATGGATGGATGGATGGATGGATGGATGGATGGATGGATGGATGGATGGATGGATGGATGGATGGATGGATGGATGGATGGATGGATGGATGGATGGATGGATGGATGGATGGATGGATGGATGGATGGATGGATGGATGGATGGATGGATGGATGGATGGATGGATGGATGGATGGATGGATGGAGGGACGGATGGATGGATGGATGGATGGATGGATGGATGGATGGATGGATGGATGGATGGATGGATGGATGGATGGATGGATGGATGGATGGATGGATGGATGGATGGATGGATGGATGGATGGATGGATGGATGGATGGATGGATGGATGGATGGATGGATGGAGGGATGGATGGATGGATGGATGGATGGGTGGATGGGTGGATGGATGGATGGATGGATGGATGGATGGATGGATGGATGGATGGATGGATGGATGGATGGATGGATGGATGGATGGATGGATGGATGGATGGATGGATGGATGGATGGATGGATGGATGGATGGATGGATGGATGGATGGATGGATGGATGGATGGATGGATGGATGGATGGATGGATGGATGGATGGAGGGATGGAGGGACGGATGGAGGGACGGATGGAGGGACGGATGGATGGACGGACGGACGGATGGATGGATGGATGGATGGATGGATGGATGGATGGATGGATGGATGGATGGATGGATGGATGGATGGATGGATGGATGGATGGATGGATGGATGGATGGATGGATGGATGGATGGATGGAGGGATGGATGGAGGGATGGATGGATGGATGGATGGATGGATGGATGGATGGATGGATGGATGGATGGATAGATGGATGGATGGATGGATGGATGGATGGATGGATGGATGGATGGATGGATGGATGGATGGATGGATGGATGGATGGATGGATGGATGGATGGATGGATGGATGGATGGATGGATGGATGGATGGATGGATGGATGGATGGATGGATGGATGGATGGATGGATGGATGGATGGATGGATGGATGGATGGATGGAAGCACACTAATAGAAGAGATTAGCACCAGAGACATTCATGCTCACTTGATTTACAATCGGATGAATTGTTTGCAGAGGCAGGCTCAGCAGTAGGCGCGGCGGCAGGCTTGGAATCCAAACCAGCACCTAGCTTCGAATCCGGCTCGGTAACAGTGGCCGTTGGTGAACCTTCCGGTGGTGGAGAGCCCTTCTCGTCTGCATGGGACAATAGCCATTGGCAGCAGGAACAGCACAAAACGCTGAGGGAAATCACGTGAGAAGGGGAGAGAAATAGGATAACGAAATATGAGAGGAAGAGTAACGAGAGGAGGCGGATAGACAAGGCAGGGAGAGGGGGAGGGATGAGGGGAGAGGGATGAGGGGAGAGAGGAGAGGGAAGAGTGGGCAGGGGAATTGCCCAAATCAGGTGCGCACCAGACGCGGCAGCAAGGCGGCTTGCGAGAGCGAGGGCAAGGAGCAGGAGAAGGAGGATCCGCGACGAGCGACGATGAGCGACGATGAGCGACGGACGACGAGCGACGATGCGCGACGGCCGACGAGCGAGCTGAGAAGGAGAAGGCCGCGGCGTGGTGGCAGCAGCAAGGGACCTTCCGTGAACAATGAGGCCGCACAATGCGGCGGCTTTGCGATCCTTGCCGCACAACGCGGAGGTGTTGCGATCCTTGCCGCACAACGCGGAGGTGTTGCGATCCTTGCCGCACAACGCGGAGGTGTTGCGATCCTTGCTGCACAACGCGGAGGTGTTGCGATCCTTGCCGCACATCATTGCACGATAGATGATTAGACTAGGCGGTGCGGTCTTCTTGAAGTTCTACGCAGAAGTGTTCTGAATTGCCCCAACTATCATTGCCGCACATCGTCCCAGTCCCAGAGTAGTTTGTTCTCAGAATGGGTTACCTCACGGCAGAATCAATCAGTACTACTTCTCAGTGATAAGTCGATTTCTGAGTCGACTAAAAAGTGATAGCCTCCGAGAGCGCTGCGTTTACGGAGCGGTGATGCATGCTAGGCGTAAAGTGGGTACCAGCAGTCCCTGTCCGGTTCCGTAGAACGGTTCCGGCGGCTCAGAGAAACAAGCGAGCTGAGCGCAGCGAACGATGGCTTCTGCTCTCAAGGCTTCCTTTGACGCGTCTCTACATACAGCTGCTAGTTTGAGACATTTCAACACTCTTGAGTTGACTGAGACCGCATTCTGAAGTTTGCCCACCATGAAGTCTGCCCACCATCAGAACTTTTCCGGGGCTGATGGTGTCCGGGTGGGGCAGGGCCCCACTTTGGCCACCAAACCTGCTTTTGGCGGGCGACAGAGGTCGCCCGGATCGCATGACAGGCGTCCAACCGAATCGTTTTCGTCACCAATAAAATCTTCTCGTAAAATCGCACGAAGAAGGTGCGATAAATATCGTCAGGCAATAACCAAACGGCCATGCCTCAAGGTCGCGCAAGTCAAGACTTTCAAACAGCAAGTAGCACGTAACCAGACTCTCCGAAAGCACAACCCCCCAAACCACCAATCGATGAAGTCGCACATCGACGTGCAGGCAGAGAGCTGCGACCGTGGCCGGTTGGCCTGAGGTCGAGCCGCGTGGGCAAACATTGAAATGTGAATAAATTGCAAAACCAACATTTCGAGCCGCGTGGGAAGACTTCGGATGGTGGAAAAACTTCTAACTGCGGCCTGAAAAGTCCAATCAAGGCTTCCTTTGACGCGCCTCTAACATAAAGCTTGTAATCTTAAAGCTGCGGTCTACATACCAAAGGGTATTTTCTGGGGGTATTTCGGGTGCACACCCTAAGACGCAGTCTGATTTGCACACGAAATGATCCCTTTCCAGAAATGAGAGCGCGAAGGATTCAAACACAATTGGCGAATCCCACCAGTTTCGTGCAAGGTTTGGTTGGGGGGGTACTTTTTTCGTGAGGTTGGGGTTATGGTGGCGATTTCGCCACAACCTGCAACCAATCGAGGTTGGGGGGTAGATTGGCGCGAAATTTGTAAGCCAATCCTGAGCAGGCCAACTTTCAGAGGGGGGGTTGGGTTGTCAGAAAGCAGTAACTGCACCTCGCCACCCAAGGATGGAGCGAAGCCCTGTGCTACCTGGTATTCAAGTGATAAACAGGTCCTCCCGCAGGAGGTATGTAGGCGACAGCTTTAAGAAATCTCGAAACTCGCTGCTCTAAAAAGCTTGCACTAAGGCGCCTCTAATAGACTGAGCTTCTAGCAAGGGCCGCTGCTCTTTGATCTGAAAGGCATCGCTGTTCATGGTAGGCTAACCACGGTCGATGCTGCTCAGGACGCGTCACCTCCCTCGATCGATCGTGCAAAATCGAGGAAGATCGATCTTCCACCGCACTTAAATCCCGCGTGTTGCATTTAAATTTGTTTGAAAACTTTTTGAACCGAATAAAAAATCGATCCTGCGCAGGATCGATTGAGGCAGGTGACGCGTCCTCAGACTTGATTGCAATCACAAGGCATTCATAATTAAAATTTGACTCACACTATGAATGTTTTTACGGGCAATGTTGCACGGAGTACGGACAGTCACCAGCACCTGTGGAAGGTAGTGACTGTAGAGTGGCAGATTTACAGGGCGCCTCGAGCCCGAATTGCAGAGAAACCTTTGACGGCCTCGCGCTGCCAGGGTACGCCACGTCGGCCGCGACATGAACTGTCAAGTCCGACTCCTCCACGTGTGAGTGCGCTGCCACCTCAAACCCCCACCCGATATACGAAATCCCGCTCGTGACCATGTGGCCCATTCGATCTGTTTAGTGAAGTGAACAGATTCCATACACGTGAACCGGAGTCACATTGTGGTAGGCCCTTATAGTTGCCCTGCCCTTCACTGTTGTCAGCAGTTAATATAATCACAGCTCTGTTATTTGTTCACCCTGCACACTCTGTTTGACAAAACGTAACACTCTTCACAGCTTGTACTTTAACTGTGCAATTGTGACCATTATGCATTACAATATACACAGATTTACAACATACACCAACCGCTCCTTGCAGCGCGTATAACACAGGTTCCGCATCAGCAACTGGAAGATGGGAACGAACAGCCTCCGAGTTCGAGCCGCAGCAGCAGCTGCGAGAGCAGCTTCGGGTCAACAGGCTTCTGCAGAACACCATCAAAGCCACTCGCAAGGCACCGCCGAGTGACCCCATCATCCACATCTGCTGTCAGAGCCACTATGAGGAGCCTTGCATGTCTGATTGTTCCCCGTGGGACAGTGGGGACTTTCGAACCTTGCATGTCTGGTTGTGTGTCTCCTGTTGCTGCGCCGGCGGCAGCTTCTGGTGGGGATGCTGAGTGAAGAAGCAGGGCTTGCTCGTGTGCCTGTATGGCCTCTGTGGCTGCAAATCTGAAAGGGATTACATTGAGGTAGCGGGGGGAGCAGCGATGGAGAGAGCAAGGGCATTGAAGGAGAGGAGAAGCATGCCACTGGGCACACATGGTGACTTTTGAGTCGACTCAGGAGAGGAGAAGTATGCCACTGGGCACACATGGCAGGCAGGCAGAGTGGTGAGAGTGGCATTCACGTCAACATGAGGGGCATCTGCAGGTCCATGAGCACCACACCCAATCCACTGCCTCTGCTGTCCAGCTTTCTCTCTCTCTCACACACCTGTCAACATAACCGACTCACCTGTCCCATCGCCCACCACTCACCCGTCCATGAGGGGCATCTGCAGGTCCATGAGCACCACATCCACATGCCCATCCGCAGGCTGTGCGCTGCCCCCCAAGGCAGGTTCCATGGGGTGTACGGTGCCCTCCAGAGCGAGCTTGACTTGCCGCAGCGCCTCCTCCCCGCTGGCAGCGGTGGCGACGGTGGCGCCGCTGCGAGTGAGAGTGCGGCGCGCCACCAGCAGATTCACCGCCGCATTGTCCACCACCAGCACATGTACCCCCCCTAGCACCCCCGCACCCTGCTGCACCGCATTCAACCCCGTGCCTGCCTGCACACCCACCCCCTGCAGCACCGCGGTTCCTCCCTTGCTTGGCAGCGACCCACCGCGCCGCTGCAGCTCTCGGGCTGACTGGGTGGCAGTGGCAGGTGAGGCAGCACTGGCAGATAGAGAGCGCATAGCTGTGACCGCACCCAGTCTCGTCACTGCTGCTGCTGCTGTTGATGATTCTGCTGCTGCTGCTGCTGCTGCTGCTGCTGCTGCTGATTCTGCTGCTGGTGCTGTTTCAAGCGTCCCAGTGTCTTCAACTGCCATATCTCCCCTTCTACTGCTGGCGCTGTTGCTTCCACTGCTGGAATCATCACCTGGTACTGTGCGCCCTGTGCACCTGCTACAACCCGCACCCAGGCTCGTTCCCAGCACCTCTGTGCCCTTCTCCTTTGCCTCCCAATCTCCATGCACTCCTCGTTCTTTTCCTTGGGGCGCCTCAATAGCAGACTCTTCACGTCCACCTTGCTCCGTATCAGCTGGCCCAGCCTCTTTTTGAGTCGACTCAAGAACAGGCTTTCCTTGAGGCGCCACAATATCAGACTCTTCACGTCCACCTTGCTCGGGGTCATCTGGCCTTGACTTTCCCCCTGCGAAGTGGTTGCGACCGAACGCAGCCAGCTGGGAGGAGAGGAGAAGAGGTGCGTGGGTGAGGGGTGAGTGAGAGTGTGAGCGCGAGAACAGAAACCAAGGCCAGACCCGGAGGTGACTCAAAAGAAGTCGGACGGAAGGGAGGTGAGGTAGGTGGTTGTGAGTGAGGGCAAGAGAATCGTCACCATGAAGTCAAGGAAGCCGAGTTGAGAAGGCAAGAGGCCAGTTTCATGATTTGCTTTTGAGAATTCTCCGAAGTCGAGTTGCAAAGTCACGAGAGCAGTTTCATGATTTCATTTGAGCGCACCAAATGGCAGCATAGGCTCACCTGAACGGCGTGGTGCAGATGGTGAGGGAGCAGCGGGGGGCGACAGATGACCACCCGGGGTGAGATGGCAGTAGAGACACCAGAGGCGGCGGCGGAGGCAGCAGAGAAAGTAGAGACATCAGGGGCCGCAGATGTGGCAGAGGCAGATGCTGCAGATGTGGCGGATCCCGGAGATACGGTTGATGAGGCAGGGTGATTGGACGAGGCAACAGCAGTTGCAAGCGCGCAAAAAGGTGCTCTGTGCTTTTTTATTGAACCAGATTCTCCAGATTCTGTGTCTTGCACGTCTCTCCTCTCTTCCTCTCTCCTCTCTTCCTCTTCCGCACTCTTCTCCCACTTTTCTTCTTCCTCCACTTCCTCCTCTTCCTCCTCTTCCACCCCTTCGCGCCCATCCCCCATCGCCTCTTCACCACAACAGTCCATGACAACCACCACCCCCACCACCAGAGCACCACGTGCCATCCCTTCCAACCCTCTCACCACCCGCACGCCTGCCTGCCACACTGCCGCATCTGCAGGCACCAGTGCCACCACAGGCACTCTCTTGCACCACGTTTGAACGCCCGTATGCCACCCCCCTGCCTCCCTGCTGCCTCCCCCAGCACCCTTACAAACTACCTCCCCTCCTACCCTCCTCCATGCACCATTACAAGCTACCTCCGCTTCTCCCTCACACTGCACTCTCCATACATCCTCCTCTTCTACCACCACCACCCAGCGTCGACTCTCTCTCACCTCCTTTTCCTCCCTTCCGTCTCTGCTTTCCCCTCCCTCTCTCCCCCTCTTTCCACCGAACCACCTCGCCGCCCACCCTCCTGAATCCCCGGTACCAATCTTCACCACCCCCTCCACATGACTGGTGGCCTGAGAATGGCAGGGAGATGATAATAATCTCCTCCCACTACTCTCCTCTCCAGACTCCCGGCCACTGCTCCCCACCATGTCCCCCACATGACTCGTGTTGAGAAAGCATGGAGACAAAAAGGACTCTTCTCCACTGGCATCTCTGTTGGATTCCCTGTGACTGCTCCCCACCGACCCCCCCACATGACTCAGAACCGTTCCGGAGGCTTCTGCTGCTGGGGGCGGAAGCAAGTGTGCCTGTGCACAGAGTGTTGATAGAATTCGTGCTGTGAGCTGATGAGGGAGGGATGGGAGAGGGTGGAGCGAGAGGGAAATGGAGGGCTGGGTTTGGATGCAGATAAAGAGCAGCTGAGTTTACAACATAAGAGTAAAGCAGCAGGATTGCAGCATAAGGATTGAATCAATTGCAGCGTAAAGAGTAATGCGACGGGTAGAACCATGTTTTGAGTCTACACAAATCACGACTCGTTTCACAACTGTGACGGGTAGAACTTGTCACATGTGACAAGGGGAGACATTTTTTCACCACACACCCTCCCCTGCGACATCCTCACAGTGTGGAGCCCAACACACACTCCCCTCTGTTCTCCGAAAATGCTAAAACATTCGCCAGCAGCAAGGCAGTTTTTCATCTGCTCGACCAAAACTTCCCCTCTACTCACCTCTTGCCTGCACAGCTCACTTCCCATCCCACCACACCAACAGCCACTCCTTTCAAGCCCCACACACACCCCATCCCCTCCTCCCACTCAAGTAAGCACGCAGTGAACCATCCTTTGTGTCACCCCAAACATGACCCAGTCTCACCTCTTGCCTGTACACATCACTTCCCATCACACCAACAGTCACTCCTTCCAGGCCCAACACACACCCCATCCCCTCCTCCCTCTCCCCCTTCCGCCCTTCGCGCTGCCCCCCTCCCTCTGCCGTTAAATGTCGCACTCCCCCCTTGCTTCTGCTGCTGCTGTTGCGATTCAGTCTGTTCCTATGTCTCGAGATTGCGCCACATCCCCACATATCCTCCGGCCAAATCTTATCCTCCTCCCCCTCCTCCCCTCCATTCTCCCCATCCTCCCCTCCATTCGCACCCTCTTCCCCCAAAGGTTGCCCAGGAACACTGGGAGTGCCGCGGGTAACAGTAGCGGGAGGGTGAGTAACGGCCGTGGCAGGAGCGAGGGGCGATGGGGGCGAGGAGAAGTCAAGTCAAAACTCGTCCCGTGTCAGACAGCAGATTCAGTCGACACATGGTGCGAGAGCCACGTGAATGAAGTGTTTTGAGACATCTCAAAACACTTCTTCATTCACGTGCAGATTCCGTCGACACATGGTGCGAGAGCCACGTGAATGAAGTGTTTTGAGACATATCAAAACACTTCTTCATTCACGTGCAGATTCCGTCGACACATGGTGCGAGAGCCACGTGAATGAAGTGTTTTGAGACATCTCAAAACACTTCTTCATTCACGTGCAGATTCCGTCGACACATGGTGCGAGAGCCACGTGAATGAAGTGTTTTGAGACATCTCAAAACACTTCTTCATTCACGTGCAGATTCCGTCGACACATGGTGCGAGAGCCACGTGAATGAAGTGTTTTGAGACATCTCAAAACACTTCTTCATTCACGTGCAGATTCCGTCGACACATGGTGCGAGAGCCACGTGAATCGGTGTGGAGTAGAATGGATATGAAGGATAGAGTGAGAGAGAATTAGAGTGGATATGACGGAAGGTGCAGGGGAGAAGCAAACCAATCACACAAGGAGCTCTCACCAGTTGGTGCATGAGAGCCAAACCCAAGCCCGCTCCTCCACTCTCTGTCCGCCCCTGCATGGTTCGAACACGGCCAGCAGCAGGAGAAATGCCAGAACACAGTCAGGCCAGTTGACACACCGTGTGCCTTGACTTGGTCAGCCACACACGAGTGCTCTTGTGCAATACTTTCTCCCGTACCACTTCAGCTGCCATCGGCAGATACACTAAGAATGCTCGATTGCAAAGCTGCTTGTATTGTCCAACGACAACACCATTCTTATTGGCCTCATTGGAGAGTCTTTCTTTCTGAAGCTTGGAATTTAGTCACCTTAAGTACGTAGCACACATGTGCATTAATCACATAAATAATTTCGCAAACGTACTTCTGGGTCGAAGCATCTGCACCATATGTGTCGCCTCGCAAACGCTTACCCTCACCTTGAACTGGAAAAGGATTTTTTTGAAAGGATGAATCGAAGCCACAGCCGGTATTCTCACACGCCACCACCACCTGCATGCGCTCCCCACCGCCTGTGAGAGATTCTTGAACTTACCTCTCTGCTTGCTTCGAACTAACCTTGAACTGGAAAAGGTATTGTTGAAGAGATGCATCGAAGCCACAGCCGGTATCCTCACACGACACCACCAGCTGCATGCACTCCCCTCCCCCTGTGAGTGAATCAATAGCATTCCCACACTTCATCTGCACACCCTCCTCTTCCCCATCCCTGCTCCATCCATTACCATCCCGAGACCCCTCACTTCCCCCCTCCCCTCCAAGACCCTCCCTCACTTGCTCCCCCTCCCTTGGCGTTTCCCCTGCAGTTTTTTCCGCTGCTCCTACTATTGCTCTCCCTTCCGTTGCTGCACTCTGTCTTGCTACGTCCGCTTTAGTCCAGGGCTTTAAGAGAGTTTGAGTGAAGCGTGCTGTGAGAATGGTGGCGAAGTGAGTAGCCCGGGCGAAGAAAGAGGGGCTGGGAGGAGGGCATGGCTGGATTGGTGCATCCGATGCATCTGAAGGAGAGCAGAGGGAGACAAAGGGTGGAGAGGGAGGGAACAAGAAGGGTGGAGCGGAAATGATGTGGAGCAGTGAGCCTGGAACGACTGTTGAGGCGCCTCAAGAGCGTGGAACGAACAACATGAGGCAGGGACGATGGTGGAAGATGGAAGCAGCAAACGTGGAAGGAGCAGCAACACACTATGCATCCAAGGAGCATGAATCGCAGTCTAAAGGGTGCTGCAAACTCCTCGGTCAAACTCAGCAGGAAGGTAGTGCTGCACAGACCCAGCTGGAAGAGAGCACTGGGGCAGACTCAACAAAGAGGGAAGAATGGGCTGACCCAAAAGGGAAGGAGAGAGCACTCACTGATATGGTGGAGGGCGTCCTCTAGAGGGGTGGAGGCGGGGCACGCAGCCACTCGCAGCAGCACATGGCTTTGAGGCGCCTCAGGAGACGGGGGTGAAGTGGACTTAGGATAGAGGACCCAAGAGAGGAGGGAGCACTGACCAAGTTGGTGGAGGGCGTCCTGTAGAGGGGTGGAGGCGGGGCACACAGCCACTCGCAGCAGCACATGGCCCTCTGTGGTGTGGTGAAGCGCGTTGTCTGGAGCAATAGGCACGGCGGGTAGGGGGTGTGTGGTTATCAAGCACACATATGAGGGTAATGAAAATGGGTCTGCAACCCAATCCATGAACGCGAAATGTGTTTTTGTTTCTTGGAAACCTCAAAAAGGATATCATGGCACTCAGTTCGTTTAGGAGTGAAAGGGAAACAGCTAGCTCACCTATGAATTCTAAAAGTACTTGTGGCTAAAGGTTACCAGCAGAACAAGAAGGTGGACTGCAACGAGATGTTTGCTCCTATAATGAAGCATACAACGCTGTCATTTTCTATTTGCTGGAGCTTCCAATAGATTGCGACAAACGAGAGTTGTGAGTCTCACTCACCTACAAGCTCTTGCAACGCTTGTGTGAGTCTCATGGCATCCATTTCCAACTCCAAAGGCACTTTCATATCCACCACTCCCACCACTGCCATGGTGGGACGGGATTTGGAGAAGAACAAAGAAAATTGGACAAAAAACGTGGAGAGATGAAGGGAAAGCTGTGGATATTAGAACATGCCCCAATTCGTACTCACTGCCCTTTTCCCACCATTCACACATTCATAACTTTGTGCACTGTCCAATCCTCATCGCCCTCTCTTCAACCACAAACTCACACTCAATCCCCTTCTGGCGAGCCCTCCAGTAGTTCTCTGCAACAACGCTCTTTGGCTCAACTGGACCACAACAGGGCGCCTCCAGCTTTGAGAGGTCGAGCACACGATTCACCAGCCGCACCGTGTCCTGCGCTGATACCCTCGCCGCCCCCACATCCACTAGTTGAGCCCCACTCAGCCCCATGTCAGCCAGAGCGTCTAATAACCCCATGATGCCGATCATGGGCGTGCGCAACTCGCGAGACATGGACGCCACAAACTGACTCTTGGACCGCTCCACTGCTAATGCGCTCTCACGGACGACGTCTGCCTTTGCCAATCCGTCCTGGTTGCGCTGGAAGCCCATGCGCTGCTGCCATGCTACGGCTGCTACTAGGGCTGTGAGCACGAGGGAGAGCATCGTCCAGAGGAAGGGCACGCCCCATGATTGCCATGCGTTGGTCGGCTGGGTGTAGCTGGCGGAGAGGAAACGGATATGGAAAGTGAAAATAAAAATCGAGGTAAAAATGTATATGGCGAAGCGAGTATATGAAAGAAGAAAAGGGTGTGTGAAAGATTCATAGCAGCACTCACCGGGCCCAACCCACCAGCACACAACCCCACTCACCAGCACCAGACCTGTTAGTACTTGTGCAGGCGGCACAGTACTTAAACACGCCCTTTTAACAGTCGGTAGCGAGCTGGACCAACTAGTGGTATCAGAGCGAAAAATCTCGGGTTCAAGTCCAGCGTGCTCCTGTGAGCGCCAACGCCCTAACGAGCCCCAAGTGAGTAGAAGACGATTTCCGTAAAGGGTAGATTGTTGGTGGGGCATTGAGATTGTTCCTCAGTTGTGTGTGTGAGTGCTACAAGTGCGTCCTGAGTGGTTATGGTTGTGCTACCTGCCAAACAAACATGCCCTTTTAACCCAATCGATAGCAAGATGGACCAACAACTCCTCAGAACTGCACTCACCGGCACCAGACCTGGTACTGGCGCAGGCGGCCGCCCAGCAAGTCAAGAGGCATGATAGCTCGCTGCTCCCAGGGGCATAGCACTCACCTATCCAGCCCCACGTGCACCCAACACCACCCCTCAGCACCGCACTCACCGGCACCACACGTGGTACTGGCGCAGGCGGCCACCGAGCAGGTCAAGAGGCACGACAGCTCGCTGCTCCCAGGGGCGTGTGGCATTGGCGGGCGAGGCGGCAGTGAAGGGTGCGATGTCCCTCTCCTTGTAGAACAGTAGCCTTGGGCCCGGCCCGTAGATCACCGTGGGTGCGCTTGGGTCTGTTGTGTCATACGCCTCAAACGTGATCGAGGGGTCTGCAGATTGGTGAAGAGGGGTTTAGAGAGGTGACAAAGGGTGGTAAAAGAAAAAAATGGTAAGAAAAGGACTGCGGGAACGAAAGGGGAATGGGGAAGTTGAAATTCGTTGTGTCTTACACTTACACCTCCCTAGTTTCGTTTTGTCTTAGACGTTGTTGTGAGAGTACATTGCCCATGCTTACCCATACTCGTTTACTTATATTTTTCTGGTAACATTTGTGCTTGTTTTCTAAGATTCATTGCTTTACTGTAGTTATTAGAGTTATAACAGCGAATAGGATTGCGTACGTAGAACTCTGTTTCATTTCGGTTATTCCCGCGTGACTTAGCGCCCGCGTGATTCCCGCTGAATTGATTTTATCGATTTCGAGAAGGTCCCGTTCTGGATGCTTCGCGATCCTCAGAACCTTCTCGTATTACCTAGTTAGATTGCTTGTATCGTGCATATATATAGCCTCGTGTTGTCCAAGTGATGATAATTTATATTCTGAACTCGATCCCCGATCCTCACAATTGTGTCCTCCAACTCGCCTCCATGGGAGCAATGTGGCTGCGAGCCAAGGCCAGAACCTTCGATTCGTGGCTCCTTCTCAACAAGCCCTATCGCAAAATGCTACATTTGTGTGCCGATTTGAGAAGCAAATCGCCTGATTAAACGGATCCTCTGATCCAAGCAAATCGCCCGATTTAAGCAGATTGCCTAACTTAAGCGTCAAATCCAGGCGGATCACCTAATTCAAGCTGATCGCCTAATCCAAGCGCTGAATCCAGGCGGATTATCTGATTCACGCCAGATTGTTTGAACAAAGCAGATCGCCTGATTTAAGCAGATAGTATGATTTAAGCGGATCATCTGGTTCCAGCAAAACGCATGATCCTAGCGGAACGCCTAAAAAAGGCGGCTCGGATTTAAGCGAATTGGCGTCTTATTGACGAGCCCTTTTTTTGGTTGTTAGGGACGAGCCCTTCTTTTGGCTGGACTTGAGCAGCCCGGTCGACCATCGCAGGTCCAGCTTGCATTCCAAACCAAAATCGGCTTGGCTTGGGTTTAGCCGAGCCGATGAAGCTCAGGTTAGGAACGAGGCAAGCCAGGCTTAAGGCGAGCCTGCTCGGTTCGGGCTGTTTCTCTTTGTGACCTTCACTTTTTGAACCTGGACCTCTCTCCTTCGTTTGTCTCTCCTGCGCCTGTCTCACCTAGGCTGAACACATTCTCAAGCACGTTTCGAATGATGGACACCAGATCCACCACCGAGTTAAATAAAGCTGGGACATGAGGTGGATTTGTTGAGGTGCCTATCAAATCAGGAACTCTCATCTGTGCTTGTTTCCCTCACCTGGGCTAAACACATTCTCAAGCACATTCTGAATGATGGACACCAGATCTACCACCGACCCCGCCGCCCCCATCACTTCCTCCCCTGCCTCATGCCCTAATGTGGTCCACGAGAGTGGATGCTGAATTATTGGGAACATAATGGCTGGCACACAGGTATGGGGGGGCTGGTTGGGGGGGTTTTGGGGGGGGAGGGGGAGCAAGGGAGGGAAGCACCCGTATTGGACACTCATGTGTTAGCGGGCCAGAGAGAGAGAGAAACAGAGTGAGGGATGAGGAGTGAGAAGTGGGGGTTCTGAGTCGAGACTTCAATGACCAGATGCCCGCACACGGGGGGGAGAGAGAAGGCAATGCGCTAGGACAGGACAGGAGGAGGTATGGGAACAATGGGTGGGACGGTGGGGTTGTACATGTGTGGCATGAAGGAGATTCAAATAGTATGCTCTGCTCCAAACCAACAATTATAGATAACAAATAATAAAAATGTTAGCAATAATTCCAATAACAACAACGACGACGACGAAGACGACGATGACGGCAACAGCAACAATACGAGCAGATGTGACTTACGAACGCCAGTGAGGTTGAAGGAGAGATTCCCGATCGGCACAACAGCACCAAACACCACTTCCCCCGTGCGCTTCACCAGATGCAACTCCTCAGGCAGGCGTTGCACGAGGTCCATGAGAGGGATGGAGCCGCGGTAGTAGTTGATATCGAGCAGCTTGGGGCAGTAGAGCGGCTGGCGCTGCTGCGGCTGCCCTGCCATGTCCACTATCGGCCCGCCGTACTGCTTCTCAAACGCTGGCCTGAGAAAGAGGGCGTTGTTGGATGTGGGAAGATTGTTCTAGAGGTGCGATCAGATCTACATTCAACTTCGCCCTCCATCCATCTACCGAGGAGGGAGTGGGGGGAAAGGGGTGTGGGGGGCGATATAAGGAGTGGGGTGTGGGCTATATACGCATCCGACCTCGCCTGGTTCGGTCAAGCCTAGACTCCGCTTGATTCTCTGGTCTGGGGCTAACGCTACGAAGTCAAATGCCCATTGGACAAGAGTCTTCCATTGACGACCTCGCAGCCACCCTTGCCATGCTTGGTTCAAGTGCTGCTACAGGACAACCAGATGAAAACAGCAGCATGGAGCTACCCACTTCAACCGTCTACCAAGCCATTTCCACCCCTTGGTGAGTTTTGGTGGGATTCGAGGGGGAATGTCACTCACCCAAAGCCGAAACTAGACCAGATGATGCGAAGTGGAAGTTTGGAACTTTTATCTGTATGGCGTAGCCTACGAAACACTGTTTTCTCCCACTTTTTGCGCGTAGTTGAGCGAATGAGGCGAAAATTATAGGAAGTGATACGTGGGCTATTCGGCATCTTGTGGTGTAGTTTCGGCTACGAGCGAGTGAAATTTTCTCTCTAAACCCACCAAAACCCATTTAGGGGTGGAAATGGCTTGGTAGGCGGCTGGAGTGGGTGGCAGCTCCATGTTGCTGCTCTCCTCTTGTTGACCTGCAGCAACGCTTAAACCAAGCATGATAGGGGCGGCTGGGAGGTCTTCAACCGCAGCTGCGGTCTTGGGCATGAACATTGGACAAGGTTTTAACTCAGGTCCCAGATTACACGGGTTGGGTTTCGAAGGTCCTAATTCGAGCCTAACCAAAACACATCGAGTGCCCTGCCACAATTCGTTTTTGGTAGGATGCTCCAAAACACATCAAGAGCCCTGCCACCCACCTACCTCTCCTTGTTGCCACAACGCTCCTCCAGTGTTCCTTGGCCGTGAGTACCCTGTCTGGTTGATGTACTCGCCCCACCGCTGCTGAAGGTTGTCAGACTTATATGATCTAGTCTGTATAGGCTGTAGCGGGTTAGACACTAAGGGGTACACAATTCTAGGGTTCATATTTGTATCACACTCATTCCTTAGTCAATCATTCCTCGTTTCTTCACATGGTATAGAGCAGGTTCCCTAGTGGGAACGCTTCCTAGGGCCCACCACGATTTTTTTTCCTGCCCGGAGCGCGCTTCGCTCCTGCCCGAGTCGCGCCCCGTGTGCCCTCCCTCCCGTCGCGTCCCTAGCCCTTAGCGGCCCGTCGCGCCCTCTTAAGGCCCCTCGCGGCCCCTCTCACGACCCCTTGCGGCCCCTTCGCGCCGCCCTTAGCGGCCCCTCTCACGGCCCCTCGCGGCCCCTTCGCGCCGCCCTTAGCGGCCCCTCTCACGGCCCTTCGCGGCCCCTTACGGCACCTCGCGGCCCCTTACGGCCCCTCGAGCCGCCCTTCGCGGCCCCTTACGGCCCCTTGCGCCGCCCTTCGTGGCCCCTCGCGGCCCCCTCACGGTCCCGTCGCCGCCCTTCACGGCCCCTTGCCGCCCTCCGCGGCCCTGTCGCCGCCCTTCACGGCCCCGTCGCCGCCCTTCGCGGCCTCTCGCGGCCCCGTCTCGGCCCCGTCGCCGCCCTTTGCGGCCCCTCACGGCCCTGTCACGGTCCCGTCGCCGCCCTTCACGGCCCCGTAGCCGCCCTTCGCGGCCCCCCCCGTCGCTGCCCCTGCAGCAGCAGCCGCCGCCGCCCCTACAGCGGCCGCCGCCTTCACTCCCGGGGCAGCAGCAGCCGCAGCCACCGCAGCCGCCACCAGCAGCAGCCGCCGCCACCTCAGCCGGAGCCGCAGCCGCCGCCGCCGCTGACTGCAGCCGCCGGTGCGCCTCGACCCTGCCAGCGCGCCTCGGCCCGTCCCTGCCGGCGCGCCTCGGCCCGCCCCTACCGGCGCGCCTCGGCCCTACCTGCGCGCCTCGGCCCGTCCCTGCCGGTGCGCCTCGGCCCTGCCCCACCACTTGCGGCCCTCTGCCCTGGTAAGAGCATCGCCGCGCTGCGCTGCTACTGCTGCCACTGCTGCCCCTGCTGCCACTGCTGCTCCTGCTGCCACTGCTGCTACTGCTGCCACTGCTGTCATGGCTACCCCTAGCGTCCTCGTCTTTGATGCTGAGGGTCGGGCTGTTGACTTTGAGGTCTGGGTCGATGATCTGCTGTTTTTCCTACAGTGCGATAGGAAAGACGGTCTCTCCCTGTTCGATCTCACGTCTGGTGCCTCTACTGCCCCTGCTGCAGATCTGACAGCACTGTTCGCTCCCAGTGGGCCACACGCGATGCTGCTGCCCGTCTTGCTGTGCGCAGTCACTTGCCGTCCTCTGAGCGCGCGCACTTTAGTCAGTACAAGAGTGCTAAGACTCTGTACGACGCTATCATTGCACGCTACTCTTCCCCTGCTACTGCTGCTCTTAGCCGCCTCATGCTGCCGTACCTGTTCCCTGACCTAGCCGCCTTTCCCACAGTCGCTGACCTCATTACGCACCTTCGCACTAGTGACGCCCGCTACCGCGATGCGCTTCTTGCTGAGTTCTGCGCTAAGAACCCCCCCCCCCCCATGTACATCACCCTCTACTACCTAGTCACCCGGCTCCCTGACTCCCTTCGCTCAGTCAGGGACCACTTCCTCTCGGTTTGCCCCACCACACTCACCGTTGACCTCCTCGAGGAGCGCCTCCTGGCAGCAGAGAAGAGTATAGTCGCTGTAGGAGCCTCTCGTGGTGACCCTCGTGCCCCCTTCTTTGAGGGGTGCTCCCCCTCCCCCTTTTGCCCTCTGTTGCCTCTGCTGCTGCCGTCGACTTAGTTGGCACCGAGTCGGTCGGCTGCGTCTGCCCCTAGCGGGAGACGCCGCACCGGCAAGGGCAAGGGGGGCAAGGGCGTTGGAGGGGCTGGCGGGGGTGGTGGAGGTGGCGGTGGAGGCGGCGGAGGGAGTGGGGGTGGCGGTGGGAGTGGTGGCTGGGGTGGGGGCTTCGGTGGCGGCGGTGGAGGCGGAGGCGGCGGCGGCGGTGGCGGTGGCAGTGGGAGCGGAGGCGGTGGCGGTGGCGGCGGTGGCGGAGGTGGCGGCGGTGGAGGTGGAGCTGGTCGGGGTGGCTCTGCGCAGCGGGGCGGCGTCGGTGGTGGTCAGCGCCAGCAGCAGCAGCGCGCTCGTGAGACCCCGCCCCCCCAGCAGCTTCGTGAGTGGTACGCTGCGCGTCAGCGGGGTGGGGGTGCTGGTCCTTGTGCCTACGTCCTGCGTACCGGCGACCGCACTGGTGAGCCGTGCGGTGGCCCGCAGACCACCCAGCGCTGCTTCGGCCGCCTGACGGACGCTTGGCGTCTCCAGTTCCCTGACGCCACTGAGATCCCCCGCTGGGGCGAGCTGCTTAGGTCGGGGGTTGCTATCTTTGATCTAGACTATGATCCTATTCTTGCTGCCATGTATGTTGTGTCTACTAGTGATGAGGGTGACTGTTACCTGTGTGTTCCGCCTGACCCGGGCATTGAGGCTGCTGCTCTAGGTGCTGGTGAGGCTGCTGCTCTAGGTGCTTGTACGTCTACTGCCCCAGGTGCTGGTGAGTCTGCTCTCTAAGGTACCACGTCGGCTCAGGCCTTGCACACTTTCACCCTTGACTCGGGTGCTTCCCGCTCTTTCTTCCGAAACCGCACCACGCTTACGCCGCTTAGTCGGCCGGTTGCGGTCTCCCTGGCGGACCCCTCTGGGGGTCCTGTCCTTGCCCACTTCTCCACTGTCTTACCGTGTCCGGCGGCCCCCTCTGGCACCCTGTCAGGTCTCTACCTCCCCTCGTTCTCCACGAACTTGGTGAGTGGTGCTGATCTACAGGATTGGGGGGTTGACCAGTTCACTCCTGCGAGTCAGCGGGTGACCCACTGTACTTGTGCTCGGACGGGCCGACACTTGGCCACGTTTACCCGTCAGCCGGGGTCGAGCCTGTACACACTGACTACTGAGTCTCCTCCGGTCGCTGAGTCTGGTCAGGTAGCTGCTTCGGGTCAGGTGTTTGCAGCAGCGTCCAGGACTGGTCCTGAGTCTGCTCCCTGCTCGTGTCGTCTCCTGTCCCACCGGACTCTCCTCTGGCACCACCGCCTTGGTCACCCCTCCCTGCCTCGTCTCCGAGGCATGGCCTCCCGTTACCTTGTCTCTGGTCTTCCCCGGTCCCTCCCTCCCCTCCCTCCGGGGCCTGCCCCCACCTGCGTTCCCTGCGTCGAGGGGCGGCAGCGCGCCGCTCCTCACACCTCCGAGTTTCCTCCGACAGAGGCTCCACTGCAGACTCTTCACATGGACGTGTGGGGCCCCGCCCGCGTCCGTGGACAGGGTCACGAGCGTTACTTCCTGTTGGTGGTTGACGACTACTCGCGTTACACCACGGTGTTCCCCTTGCGCAGCAAGGGTGACGTCACTGAGGTGTTGATCGACTGGATCCGCGCAGCTCGTCTCCAGCTCAGAGAGAGTTTCGGCTCGGACTTTCCTGTTCTGCGTCTGCACTCTGACAGAGGCGGGGAGTTATCCTCTGGCCTTCTGGGAGCCTTCTGTCGTGCACAGGGCATTCGCCAGACGTTCACGCTTCCGGCCTCTCCACAGCAAAATGGGATTGCTGAGCGCCGCATTGGCATGGTCATGGATGTCGCTCGTACGTCCATGATCCATGCGGCTGCTCCCCATTTTCTGTGGCCGTTCGCGGTTCAGTACGCGGCGCATCAGATCAACCTTCAGCCCCGAGTCTCCTTGCCGGAGACCTCCCCCACCTTGCGGTGGACGGGGAAGGTTGGCGATGCGTCTGCGTTTCGTGTCTGGGGATCTCGGACGTTTGTCCGCGACTTGTCTGCGGACAAGCTGTCCCCCCGTGCTGTTCCCTGCGTCTTCCTTGGCTTCCCCCCTGACGCGCCTGGTTGGCAGTTTTACCACCCCACCTCGCGCCGTGTTTTGTCCTCCCAGGACGTCACGTTTGACGAGTCGGTTCCGTACTACCGTCTCTTCCCCTACCGCACTGCGCCCCTTCTCCCGCCGCCGCTCTTCCTCGCGCCAGGTCCCCCCCCGGTAGACCCTCTCCCCCCTCAGGGTCCTGCCCCGTTAGGTGTGTCCCAGGTAGACGCAGTCGAGCCTGTCGAGGTAGCTGTTGACTCTGGTGCTGCTCGGGGTGCTGAGCCTGCGGGTGCGGGGTCTGGGGGTGCTGAGCCTGGGGGTGCTAAGCCTGGGGGTGCGGAGCCTGGGGGAGCGGAGCCTGGGGGTGCTGAGCCTGGGGGTGCGGAGCCTGGGGGTACTGGGTCTACTCGTGTGGCCTCTGGCGGTGCTGGGTCTTGGGGTCCTTCGGGCACTTTGTCTCAGCGGGAGCTACCCTCTCCACAGGAGCTGCGCGAGTGGTTTGCCAGGCGTTGGAGCCGTGCTGCTGGTGCTGGAGGTGCTGCTGTTGCTGTTGACCCTGGGGTCGGCGCTGGAGGTACTGGAGCCACTGGTCCTGGAGGTGCTCGTACTTGCGGTACTGGAGCTGCTGGGACTGGGGGTGCTGCTGAGGCTGCTGGAGTTGGTCCTGCTGGAGGTGCTGCTGGTGCTGCTGGAGGTACTGGAGCTGCTGGTGCTGCTGAGGGTACTGGAGCTACTGGGGGTGCTGGTGCTGGAGGTACTGCTGGCGCTGGTGCTTCTGAGGGTGCTGGAGTTGGCGCTCCTGGAGCTGGAGGTGCTGCTGGCGCTGGTGCTGCCGCTGGGGGTGCTGGTGCTGTCCCTGCTGTTTTCGGAGGCGCTGCGCGGCCGCGGCCGTACTTCGTTCCACTCCTTGAGCAGGTTCTTCGTCTCCCGCCCTCTACTGGTCCTCCTCCTCCCTTAGAGTGTCCACAGCCTGTCCGGTCCGAGTCACAGTTACAGCCCGCCTCCCCACTGCCGGCTCCTTCTCCCTACACTGGTCCTACTGGAGGTCTTGCTGAGCGTCGTGAGCCTGCGTCTCGTCCTGCGTCGCCCGTTCGTGCTGTTCGCGCTAGTCGTCGTATTCCGCGTCAGCGTCCTCCTGCAGTCCCGGGCACGCACCAGATGGCACTGCGTCCTTCCACTGCTCCGCAGCGTGTCCCTTTGCCGTCTCCTCGAGCGACCTCTCTTCCTGCTCTTGCTGACCCGGAGTCTGACTCTCTTCGTGCTGCCAGTCCTACTGTCACGCGTCTCCTGGCTACTGTCGTCACTGACCCTTCCTTTGAGTCCACTGCTGCGTCTGCCTTAGTTGCTGAGCTTGTCGACTTCGCTGCTCACTGTCGTCTAGACTACGCCGCTAGTCTTGTTGTTGAGTCTGAGTCTGTCTGTCCTCCGTCCGTCGGGGGTGAGTGTGCCCTTAGCACGGACGTCCTTGAGGACAGGCAGGAGGAGTTCCAGTGTTTTGCTGCTGCTTTGCCTCATCTCGTGTCCATGCTGATTGCCCCTGAGGGAGACCCGGATGCACCAGACATCCCGACTCCTCGATCGTACGCTGAGGCGATAGAGGGTCCCTACTCCTCACAGTGGCAGTCAGCCATGGACGCAGAGATGGCATCCTGGAAGTCCACAGGCACCTACGTCGACAAGGTTCCCTCACCTGGGGCGAACATCGTCAGTGGCATGTGGATTTTCAGGGTGAAGCGGCCGCCTGGTTCTCCGCCTGTCTTCAAGGCGCGTTACGTGGCTCGAGGCTTCAGTCAGCGGCAGGGAGTTGACTACTTTCAGACCTTCTCTCCTACCCCGAAGATGACCACTCTTCGGGTGCTGCTACACATAGCTGCTCAGCGTGACTACGAGCTTCACTCTCTTGACTTCAGCACAGCTTTCTTGCAGGGCAGCCTGCACGAGGAGATCTGGCTGCGCCGCCCACCTGGCTTCACTGGGTCGTTTCCTCCTGGTACCCAGTGGAGCCTCCGGCGGCCAGTCTACGGTCTCCGCCAGGCGCCTCGTGAGTGGCACGACACACTGAGGACTACACTTGCGGCTCTTGAGTTTGCTCCTGCTACTGCCGACCCGTCGCTGTTTCTGCGCACCGACACCTCTTTGCCGCCGTTCTACATCCTCGTGTACGTCGACGACTTGGTCTTTGCCACTGCTGACACTGCTGGACTCGCCCACGTGAAGTCCGAGCTGCAGAAGAGACACACGTGCACAGACCTGGGTGAACTGCGCAGCTACTTTGGCTTGCAGATCACCCGGGACAGAGCACAGCGCACCATCACCCTGACTCAGTCACACATGGTGCAGCAGGTCCTTCAGCGCTTCGACTTCACGTACTCCTCGCCTCAGGCCACTCCTCTGTCTACTCGCCACTCGCTCTCAGCTCTGCCTTCGGATGAGTCCGTAGAGCCGAGTGGCCCGTACCCAGAGCTTGTTGGCTGCCTCATGTACCTGATGACCTGCACACGACCTGACCTTGCATACCCTCTTAGCATCCTGGCACGCTATGTTGCTCCTGGGAGACACCGACCAGAGCACATGGCTGCTGCGAAGAGGGTGTTGCGCTACTTGTGCAGTACGTCGGGCATGGGGCTAGTGCTTGGAGGGCGGCGTTCAGTGGTCCACACAGGTCACGCAGACGCTTCTTGGGCTGACGACCAGGCTACGCAGCGGTCGTCACAGGGTTACACCTTCAGCCTTGGTTCCGGCTCTGTTTCGTGGCGGTCTACCCGCTCGTCTTCTGTTCTCGGCTCCAGTTGTGAGGCCGAGATCTACGCAGGGGCCATGGCTGCACAGGAGTTACGCTGGCTCACCTACCTGCTGACCGACCTGGAAGAGCCGCCTCGTTCTCCTCCAGTTCTGTACGTAGACAACAAGGCCATGCTGGCCTTGTGTCGGGAGCACAGACTGGAGCACAGAACGAAGCACATTGCTCTTCGCTACTTCCTTGCTCGTGAGCTGCAGCAGCGTGGTCAGCTGCGCCTTGCTTACGTGGCCTCTCAGGCCAACACTGCTAATATCTTTACCAAGGCACTTCAGCCTTGTGATCATCAGCGCTTTTGTACGATGCTAGGTCTTGTGCCTACTTGGCCTCACTTGCTCACTTCTTGACCTTGCTTGTACTGCGATCTTTTTATAACTGCACTTGCTTGTTTACCTTTATATATATGATCCTGCATGTGAACTGGCCTTGTGGCCTTGAACCTGTGCTCGGAATGTGTGGTGACGTTGTGATCCACCCTGAGCTTGCTTTGCTTTGTTTGACTGGTCTTGTGACCCCTTGTTCTCCCCCACTTTGCCTATGGGGGTGTGTCAGACTTATATGATCTAGTCTGTATAGGCTGTAGCGGGTTAGACACTAAGGGGTACACAATTCTAGGGTTCATATTTGTATCACACTCATTCCTTAGTCAATCATTCCTCGTTTCTTCACAAAGGTGGCTTTTGAGTCGACTCAAAAGTCATCTGGTTGATGTACTCGCCCCACCGCTGCTGAAGGTTGCTTTTGAGTCGACTCAAAAGTCATCTGGTTGATGTACTCGCCCCACCGCTGCTGAAGGTGGCTTTTGAGTCGACTCAAAAGTCATCTGGTTGATGTACTCGCCCCACCGCTGCTGAAGGTGGTCAGTCGACCCATGACATACCCACCCACCTCTCTTTGTCGGTGACAAACGGGCACAACGCTCCTCCTGTGTTCCCCGGGCGGGCATAACCCGTCTTATTGATGTACTCGTCCCATCGCTGCTGCGTAAAACACTTGTCCCACGCCCACTGCCCATGCGCCCTGGGCCTCCCCATCACGGATGCCAGCCCTGCAAAGGTCTGCGTGGTTGGTGAGAAGGGGGGGGTGAGAAATGGGGGGTGATAAATCGCGGGTGAGTGGATGAACCAGCATAAAGAGACAACCAGGGCAAAACGCTATGTAAGAAGCAACCCATTATGCAACCCAGAATCCGGAATCCAGCATCGCACGGCTGTGCGGAAGGAAAAGGCTCACATGAATGTGGCTGACGGTGGTGAGTGTGTGTTGCTCGAAGAGCTTGGCGCGCTCGTAGCACCACGTGTCGAGGTGCTGCCACCGCTCGCTCTCGTACGACGCGTGCCGCGAGTAGCACAGCCACACCGCCATCGACACCCCCGCCAGCACCCATGCCGCCAGCAGCACCGCAAAGATGCGGCCTGCAGTGGTGAGGGGAGCCGTGGGTCGGGAGGAACTAAGGGTTGATCACTACGTTATGCTATGAGGAGTGCCACGACCCGCACATCGACGTAATATGAGTGATTTTTTCAAACGTCTAAAAAAATCACTTATATCATGAGCAGTAGGTGGGGAGCAACTAAGAGTTGAGACTCTACGTTATGATACGAGGAGTGCCGCGACCGGCTCAGTTACGCTGCCACTGACAACCTTGCCAGTGGAGTTGGCCTGGCGCGGAAGCAAAATCTCTACAATGATGAAAATCACCAAACGCTAAATCACCAAGCGTTGATATCAGACTCGTTTCTACTTCTATCCTGTGATGATGCTGTAGAATCAGACACATGCGGGATCATGCCTAGTTCTCGTTTTGTCCGCCGACAAAGATCGGGGTAGAGCACTACATGAGAAGTGGGGAGGAGAGAAGTGGGGTGAGGATCAATTTTTGCGACGGGGTGGAGAGAAGTGGGGAGGGGGGCAGAGGGAGGGGAGGTTGTGTGGGGGAGAGGAGGGGGGGGGGGGGGGGTTCAGGGAGGGAGGGGAGGGGATGGGAGGAGCGGAGAGTGGGGGTTAGGAGGGTATTCATGAGAATTTTCATGGAGTATCGCGATGAGGAAGGGGAAGGGAGAACACTTTCAAGAAATCTCAAGAATTTCTGGCAGTTTAAACGTGCGGTAGAGACGTCCTTTGAACGCGCAAGCGTCGGGAACTAACAGCAGGACACGCGAGGTGATACGGCACTGACCAGAAAGGTTAAAGGTCGTTGACTACTTAAGCTCTACCTCGGAACACGAGATCCTGAAGTGTGTCTTTGCAGCGTGCGCGCGACATTCCCTATACGACTCGTCCGCGTTACGCCAACAAGCGACACTATCCCATGAACATGCAGTTCGGAGACCTTCGTCACATGATCCTACTCTTCGAAACCGTAAATAGCGGAGAGGTTTGTCCGCACAGTACGTGTCAATGACAACTAAGGAGAACAGATGGGGCTGCGGATCACGGGCAGAACGGTTCTTGCAATCAGTCAAGCCAGCTTACAGTGCAAGTGCTGGTGGTAGAGTTCATGTATAAATGTTCAGTATGGTGACAGGCGGTTAAAAGTGGTGAAACACGGTAACCGCTCTGAAGCGCACAGAAACGTACTCGGCCTCTTTGAATCAAGCTCGAGTAACCTGCCCTGATGAATTCACCGAAAATATCGGGCATGTGGAACATCTCAAGAAGATTTTGTTGAGTAGTGTATAGTGCATTCAAGCAGGGGAACGTGCTGGCAAGACCTCAAACTCGTTCCAACATTCCAATGTGGGTGAGCGAGAAATTTCTTGCGAAGAAAGCCTTCCTGTCTGGGCGACATGAATAAGGGGTTACTCGCTTACCAAAAACCAACAAAGCTTCGCATTAACTCTGGCGAAAATATACCTACCTACCTTGCTGTGCGTGGCCCCACACCACATGCCATGGTTTTAGGGCGCGTGTCTTTTGGTGTAGACGTTCGAAAATAGGGTCGAACTTTTTGCTAGTAACCCGTTTTGTTATTCTCGCCAAAACATTCGCGAGAGAATCGTGTGTCCTGGTTCAAACTGTGTGAAGGAAGTTGGACACTAAACTGAAGTCGACTAGCGTTCGGATTTTAACGTTTACCTTTTTCTAATCGTGTGTTCTTTGACGCACGCCCGAAATTTTGCGAGGTTCACGACAATGACGAGGGAAAATGTATCGGGTTACCAAATTCGGCTCCGGTCACGAACAGCACCGCACAACCGGGTAACCTACAGAAGTCTAAAGTGACTTGTAATCTACTGTTTAAAGTTGAACTCTGATATTCGAACTTTGTGTCAGAATCAACAAGGGTGATTGCACTAGGAAAGAGTTGGGTACAAGTAGGAAACCCTAAACTTACTGTACCCCATAGTAACTACCCCACTACAGCCTAAACAAACTGTAGCAGATATAACATTTGACACACCCCCATAGGCAAAGTGGGGGAGAGCAAGGGGTCACAAGACCAGTCAAGAAAGGCAAAGCAAGCTCAGGGTGGATCACAACGTCACCACACACTCTGAGCACAAGCAAAGGGCCACAAGGCCAGTCCACATGCAGAGGCATATATGCAACACAAACAGCACAGTGATCTCTACCTAGCAAAGCAAGCATGCAGGTATATATATATATATATCACAGTACAAGCAAAGCCTACAGCAAGTGAGGAAAAGTGGGCACAAGCCCTAGCACAGTGCAGAAACGCTGATGATCACCAGACTGAAGTGCCTTGGTGAATATATCAGCAGTGTTGGCCCGAGTGGCCACGTAACGCAGACGAAGCTGACCACACTGCTGCAACTCTCGAGCCAGGAAGTAACGCAGAGCGATGTGCTTCGTTCTGTGCTCCAGTCTGTGCTCCTCACACAAGACAATGGTAGCCTTGTTGTCGACGTACAGCACTGGAGGAGAACGAGGCCGCTCTCCCAAGTCAGTCAGTAGGTAGGTGAGCCAGCGTAACTCCTGTGCAGCCATGGCTGTGGCGTAGATCTCAGCCTCACAACTGGAGCTGAGAACTGAAGACAAACGTGTAGAACGCCAAGAAACTGAACCAGACCCAAGGCTGAAGGTGTAACCCTGTGACGACCGCTGAGTAGCCTGGTCGTCAACCCAAGAAGCGTCTGAGTGCCCAGTGAGGACAACTGAGCTCCTCCCTCCAAGCACGAGTCCCATGCCTGATGTACTGCACAAGTAGCGCAGTACCCTCTTAGCAGCATCCATGTGCACCTTTCGGTGCCGACCAGGAGCCACGTAGCGAGCCAGAAGGCCAAGAGGGTACGCGAGGTCAGGACGAGTGCAAGTCATCAGGTACATGAGACAGCCAACTAGCTCTGGGTAAGGACCACTCGGCTCTACGGGCTCGTCCGAAGGTGGAGCTGAGAGCGAGTGACCTGTAGCCAGAGGAGTGGCCTGTGCCGAGGACCAGGTGAAGCCGAAGCGCTGAAGGACCTGCTGCACCATGTGTGACTGAGTTAGTGTGATGGTGCGGCGTGCTCTGTCCCGGGTGATCTGCAAGCCAAGATAGTTGCGCAGTTCACCCAGGTCTGTGCACGTGTGTCTCTTCTGCAGCTCCGACTTCACCAGGGCGAGAGCCTCAGTGTCAGCAGTGGCAAAGACCAAGTCGTCGACGTACACGAGGATGTAGAACGGCGGCAGCGAAGTGTCGGTGCGCAGAAACAGCGACGGGTCAGCAGTAGAAGGCGCGAACCCAAGAGCCGCAAGTGTAGTCCTCAGTGTGTCGTGCCACTCACGTGGCGCCTGGCGGAGACCGTAGACCGGCCGCCGGAGGGTCCACTGGGTACCAAGAGGGAACGACCCAGTGAAGCCAGGAGGGCGGCGCAGCCAGATCTCCTCGTGCAGGCTGCCCTGCAAGAAAGCTGTGCTGAAGTCAAGAGAGTGAAGCTCGTAGTCACGCTGAGCGGCAACGTGCAGTAGCACCCGAAGAGTGGTCATCTTCGGGGTGGGGGAGAAGGTCTGGAAGAAGTCTACTCCCTCTCGCTGACTGAAGCCTCGAGCAACGTAACGAGCCTTGAAGACAGGCGGAGAACCTGGCGGCCGCTTCACCCTGAAAATCCACATGCCACTGACGATGTTCGCCCCAGGAGGGGGAACCTTGTCGACGTAAGTGCCAGTGGACTTCCAGGATGCCATCTCTGCGTCCATGGCTGACTGCCACTGAGAGGAGTACTCACCCGCGATCGCCTCAGCGTAAGAGCGCGGGGTCGGGATGTCTGGTGCATCCGGGTCTCCCTCAGGTGCAATCAGCATGGACACGAGATGAGGTACAGCGGCGGCAAAGCAATCAAACTCCTCCTGCCTGTCCTCAAGGACGTCCGTGCTAAGGGCACACTCACCCCCGACGGACGGAGGACAGACAGACTCAGACTCAGGCTCAGCAACAAGACTCGCAGCGTAGTCTAGACGACAGTGAGCAGCAAAGTCGACAAGCTCAGCAACTAAGGCAGACGCAGCAGCTGACTCAAAGGAAGGGTCAGTGACAGCAGTGGCCAGGAGACGCGTGACAGTAGGACTAGCAGCACGAAGAGAGTCAGACTCCGGGTCAGCAAGGGCAGGAAGAGAGGACGCAGGAGGAGAAGGCAGCGGGACACGCTGTGGAGCAGTGGAAGGACGAAGCGCCATCTGGTGAGCGCCTGGGACAGCAGGATTTCGCTGTTACGGGCAGGGGCGACGCCGCGTCAGCAGTTGGGCGCGGCCGCCTCAGTAGCAGGGCGCGGCCGCGTCAGCAGGAGGGCGCGGCCGCGTCCGCTGCAGGGCTGGCGGGGCCGCGTCACGGCAGGGCGGGGCCGCGACTGTGGCCTGACGGGGCCGCGACTGCGGCCTGACGGGGCCGCGACTGCGGCCTGACGGGGCCGCGACTGCGACCTGACGGGGTCGCGCGATGGCCTGACGGGCCTGCAGAGGCTGCGTGCGGGCGGCGAGGGCCTGCAGGGGCGGCGCACGGTCGGGCAGAAGCTGCGCACGGGCGGCGTGGTCCTGCAGGGGCAACGCGCCGACCTGACGGGCCTGCAGGGGCGGCTCTCGGGCCTGACGGGCCTGCAGAGGCGGCTCGGGAGCCTGACGGGCCTGCAGAGGCGGCTCGGGGGCCTGACAGACCTGCAGGGGCGGCTCGAGGGCCCTACTAGCTTGCAGGGGCGGCGCACTGGCCTAGGGCAGCAGGAGGCAGCGCGAGGGCGCACTAGCCTAGGGCGCACGAGGGCGGCGCACTGGCCTAGGGCGGTCGGGGCGCGCGAGGGCGCACTAGCAGAAAAAAAAAAAAAAAAAAAAAAAAAGGGCGCACGAGGGCGCACGAGCAGAGAAAGGCGCACGAGGGCGCACGTAAGGTAGGGCGCACGAGGCCGCTTCTAGCGGAATAGTGGGCCCGTAGTAGTAAGTGGTCCTAGGTGGCAACCTAGGCTCGTGATACCATGTCAGAATCAACAAGGGTGATTGCACTAGGAAAGAGTTGGGTACAAGTAGGAAACCCTAAACTTACTGTACCCCATAGTAACTACCCCACTACAGCCTAAACAAACTGTAGCAGATATAACATTTGACACTTTGTTGTTCCGTGCGCGACTCGGAATTGCTGACGCTGCTCCTCAACCACGAAAAGTCGAGATGGTCGACCACAGGTCAACCAAAGTTCGAATGTGTAAATTCGAAAAAAAAAAAACATGAACTTCAGCCTGATTTGCACAAGACACGCGCCCTTACACATGATGCCCTACCACTGCGCGCGAATTTGCCTTGCCCATTTCAGAAACTCTGCACCCGTGTTTTTTTTTCAGTAAGTTGCACCCAGGTTATAGGCACGTGAATCAACTTGCATTTGGGCGAGAAAACGCCAAAGTATGAATCTTAGGCGCAAAACAAACCATGTTGACCCGGTTTGTTGCTGTTTCTTGGCCAGAAACAAGCATAAACCCTAAACCCTGAACTAGCAACAACACAGGCCCACCAGAACTGTTTTGGAAAAAACAAACGAGTTACAACCTGTGTTTTTTAGAAGCACCTCAACACCCTGGCGGAATAGAATGAACTGGGCGAAATGCCTAAAACGTTTATAAGCCCCGAGCACAACCCGAGTAGGGGGGACTCAAACAAGCATCAGGTGTATGGCAGCAAAAAAAATCGTTTCGAATAAGGAGATTGGTGAGGTTCTGTACAACCCGCGTATACAGTTTGCCTAAGGGCGTGTCTGAAGTGCAAACGTCGAGTTTCGTCAATTTTCGTCAACGAAACTCCTCCGTGGGACCCACGCGTGTTGGTGTCTGAAGTGCAGCCTGACATCCCTCGACGAAACTCGACGTTCGTACAAATGTCGAGGGATGTCGAACAGTGATACCGGGCAGCTGTTCGAGTCACTGTAGTCAGTGAGTGCTTCAAAAACAATTCTTCGACACGCCATGTCTGCATAGCTACTAGCAAACACACGTGACTAAGAACCAAGAAGAGAGCGTCACGTGCTAGAGAAATTTCGCTGACAATGTGACAGTAGAATATCGGGTGTTACCAGCAACAATCTATGCTAATCGAAGTTCGCGAGATTACAAACAGTTGAGTTACATTAATTATTCTGTTAATTCCACGTCGGATTTTCATGGGCAACTGATAACAGTGTTCCTATGGCACGTGTGGGTTATTTTGTCGTGTGGGTGTCTGAAGTGCACAAAGCTGAAAACGGATGTCGAGTTTCGTCGAGGAACGTCGACGAAACTTTCGTCGGCAAACGTCGCAATTCACTTCAGACACGCCCTAAAACCAGAAGATATGCTAGCGCAACAGTGGGTGCACTGCACACCATTTTTCCAGCCGTCTACGAACCCCAGCGTGCGAGTGGAGCCTCAGGCCCAAATTATTCCGCACGAGGTTTTGCCCTCCAGACCAGCCATTCAAGCGCAAGAGTTGCTCCACGTTTTGCTGGGATTAAAGCTTTTGAGTACGATGCTGTGCGCTCTGAAGCGGTTTCTTCTCTTCACCACTTTGAACCGCTGCGCACCTGCTTGAACAAGTATTTGCAGCTCCGTGATGGAAGTCAAGTGCTTCGACATCCACCCCACCACATTCATCCATCATCCGTCAACTTTCGCCACCGACGTCAGTTGGATGAGGCGTGCACGTCGGATGGATGTCGCTGGTCACTTTCGAAATTCGAGGGCACGCTAGGGTGATTGCGATGGGTTTTGGCTCTTCTTGAGAGTTTCAAACGGCTTGATGTGCTGGTTGCTTTGGTGACTGCGGTGCGTTTCAACTTCATGAATGCAATGAGCTTCGCGATTTCACTGCAGATGCGATATGCGAGCTCCGTCCAAGGCTTCACAGATGGACGTCAAAAGCTACCCACTCCGTTGTTCGTGCCTCGCAAATTGCTCGAGTGACAGGCAAGGCATCCTTCCTTCGTTGCCGTAAATCGTTTCCACACCACAGGTACTTATTTATTTCTTTAGATCAGAAAGGCTATGGAGTTGGGTCTTTGGCACGCTATCACGATGCACGAATGTCAGCCGTTCTTCCTTGAGGTTATGCTGAATAGCAGTCGCGTGCAATGTTAAACCTAAGCTGCGTTCGTGCCCTAGCAATTTTCAGGGTTTAGGGTTTAGAAATGCGCTCGAGCAGCGGCAAGACAACCATTCAGCAGGTGGTCTTTCGAGGTACGCTACAGTTTTAACGTGTCAACGTCGTTAAACGGTCTTCGGAAGCTTCGTATACGACGGTAGTAATGCGCGAAAGGCTCCCATTCATCAATATCGCTTGTGATTTGGCTCACTACGACGGCGTGTGTATTAGTGGCACTATATGCTCTACAACGGCGTGGTAATGCATTTGCTGCTAGGTGCGACGTTTAGGGTTTCACCATGATATCGCCACCTCCCCCTCATCCAGTCGGTTGTAACAGCTAGTCGCGCACGCCTCGCCCTAAACTGCTGAAGTGTGCTTTCACCCAACTGTTTCATGGCGTTGCCACGTCACGTGTCTCATTATCAGTATTTGGTGGTCGTATCGTGTCCGAGTGAGTTCGGATGCAACAGCTTTTACGCTCCCTGGTCATAATATGCACCAGGATTCGCCTCAAACCTAGAAGCTCATCCGTCTGATAATACAGCGTCACCACGCACTGTTCCTTCACCCGCGGCAGGACCCATATTGGCTGTTCTCCTAGCTGCATACATGCTAGCTTTCACGTTTCTCCTTTTCCTTTTTTTTTCTTCCGTCAGACAGTTTTATTGTTCAAACGCGCCTCCCAATTGTCCCCTGCCAGCAGGCCGCATCTTCGCGGTTCTCCTGGCAGCATGGGTGCTGGCGGGCGTGTCCATGGCGGCGTGGCTGTGCTACTCGCGGCACGCGTCGTACGAGAGCGAGCGGTGGCAGCACCTCGACACGTGGTGCTACGAGCGCGCCAAGCTCTTCGAGCAACACACTCTCACCACCGTCAGCCAGATCCGCGTGAGTTGCGCACAGCCGTGCGATGGAGAGAAGTGTGAACCTGTTGTGATCCATTCTGGATAGATCCAGGACGGCAACATATTCTGCAGACGCGCGCACGGGAGGACTCACGCACAACCGTCAGCAATTTGAAACCGAACTTATTACAAGCCATCAGCCACTCTAACATTAACTATGCATATCCATCCATCCCAGATCTTCGTGATGAGGAAGATTTCCCACAGAAAGCTTTTCCAGCGCCTTAAGAAACGAATTTGGAGGGCCCCAAAGAATCGTCTCACAAACCTATTAACCTACCCTTCCCTGCAGCGATGTGTATCACCCGTTCCGATCCCTGCCAGACATTCGCAAGGCTGGTGGCGGTGATGGGTAAGCCGAGGAGGGACGCTTTTTTGGGCGCTAGGAAGCGATTATCAAGATGCGTCAAGGGTCGTCTCAGGGAGCTTTTTGCTCACCCTCCCAGGAGCCTTGTGAATCTTTCATTCTTCTCATCCCTGGCAGACATTTGCAGGGCTGGTGACGGTGATGGGCAAGCCATGGGAGGGACGCTTTTCATGCTCCCTAATTACCTGTTAACTGACTAGCCCTTCTCCGCGGCTGTGTGTGAACCTCTCTTTTCCGTATCTGGCAGACATTCGCGGGGCTGGTGGCGGTGATGGGCAAGCCGAAGAGGGACGGCGGCAAGTGGACGTGGGACAAGTGCTTCACTCGCCTGCGGTGGGACGAGTACATGAACAAGACGGGTTACGCCCGCCCGGGCAACACGGGGGCCATGCTCTGCCTCTTTGTCACTGATAAGGAGCGGTGAGTAGGTGGGTGGGAGGTAGGGAGGGTGGGTGGGTGAGTGGGTGGGTGGGTGGGTGGGAAGGAGGGTGGGTGGGTGGGTGGGAGGGAGGGTGGGTGGGTGAGTGGGGTCTCCTTAGAGCTCGTTTTGGGAAGCATTCACTTGCACTAGTCAGTCCTGTTGCCTTGCTGCCTCTCTCCCACCCTCTTCACTCCGTACGCCCGTTACTCACACATCCTTGCCAATCACAGATTCCTCACTCTTGTCGCACCACATCCCGTCGCACCACATCCCATCGCACCACATCCCGTCGCACCACAACCCGTCGCACCACATCCCGTCGCACCACATTCCGTCGCACCACATCCCATCGCACCACATCCCGTCGCACCACATCCCGTCGCACCACATCCCGTCGCACCACCATCTGTGCCTCTCTCGTGCGCGCCCTTCCTTCCCACTGCAGGCCAGCCTTTGAGCGGCAGTACGGCGGGCCGATCACGGACATGGCAGGGCAGCCGCAGCAGCGCCAGCCGCTCTACTGCCCCAAGATGATCGACCTGCACTACTACCGCTCCTCCATCCCCCTCGTCGACCTCGTGCAACGCATCCCCGACGAGCTCGCCTTCCTCCGACGCACCGCGGAGGTTGGGTATAGCGTTGTAACGCCTGTCGGAAACCTCAGCTACAACCTCACAGGTGTTGGTGAGTCCAAGGACGTCTGAAGAGTCTTTTTTCAGGCGGGCAGGGGAGATTGGGTACAGCGACGTGACGTGACGCCCGTTGGGTACAGTGATGTATCGCCCATTGGGAATCCCACCTACAATCCCACCAGTGTTGGTGAGCCGTGGATGCGTGATATGTGCGTTGGATCGCTGCAAACATACTTGAGCGAGATGGGTACAGCGTGTCCTTTTTGTATCATGACCTATATGGGAGCATGGTGTTCGACCTACTTCAGTGCCAACAGGTTGACATTTCTCATGCAGCCCAGAAATGTCAACCTGTTGGCGCTGAAACAGATCGAACACTATGCTCTTGTATAGGTCATAATACGAAAAAGACGCACTGTACCCGTCACGCTCAAGTATGTTTGCACCGGTGTTGGTGAGCCGCAAGTGTGAATATTTAAAAAACGTATACCACTTTCTTTCTTCATCGTGGTTTGACGGACGGACTACTTTCTTCCCGTTCATTCATCTCCTCCCATTGCCTCCTGCTCTTCTCTCTCCCTCTCTCCACATCCCCCCTTGCCGTCCTTCCCCATGCCAGCGGTGGGCTTCCCCATCTTGCAGCACCCGCTGCCGCCGAACCCAACGCAGCAGCAGGCAGAGGAGGCGGTGATTGGGGGGGCAGGGTCGGTTGTGGACTTCACCTCCATCGCCAAGAACGTGCTCACCAAGTTGTTTTGCCCAGGTACTGCAGCAGCAGAAGGTGCTGCAATAGGGCTCCAACTCTGGAGCCGTCTTTGGCTCCAGTTTTGCATTGCAAGCAGTTGATACAGCGTCCAACCCTGGACGTTATTAATAGTAGACCCCTTAATCAAGTTTGAGGCGTATCATGACGAAGCCCAGCACGCCCACCATGATCTATGGTATACATGGGCAAACGAGTCGAGTTTTTACTAGACTCGTTTGAAGTACTCGAAAATAACGAGTTTCGAGTTCTGATTTTGGTAAAAAAAGCTCGTGAAAACGAGTCGATTTTTACTCGCGAGTTTAAAAAAACTCGTGAAAAACTCGGCTAGACAGGCGAGTTACCCATAACTCGCGATTTTTTTTTCACTCACGAGTTTTGTTTAACCTAGACGAGTTTTAAAAAACTCGTGCATCAAATGGTCCACCACGGGGGGGTACATATGTCTGTTTCTGGGTTAATATGCTGCTGGAGGTGTGGCTCGCTGTTTTGGATGTGTTCCACCACTTAATTGTGAACACTAGTGCAGCTGGCGTGGCGGTGAGTAGCTTTTTTGGAAAGTGAAAGGGGGGAGGAGAGGTGGGGCTGGCTGGGTCGTTTGTGGGTGTTGACGCGTGTGGCAGTTTTCTGGGCACCCTACAACTGTTTTCGTGTGGCTGGGGTTTTAGGTTAGGGTAGTGTTTAACTTCGAGTCGAGTTTTACTTGACTCGGACGAGTTTTTTTAAGGCTCATCCGAGTTTTCAAAAAGCTCGACTTTGGGGCCGAGTTTCGAGTCAGCATTTTGACCAAAAAAACTCGACGAGTAAAACTCGACTCGACTCGTCAAAGGGAAAAAACTCGTCAAAACGAGTCAAGTAAAACTCGACTCGCCATTTGCCCATGTATAATCTATGGGCCGAGGCCAAGGCTCATCTTCTACTTGGAAAGGGACATCAACCTTCACCGCACCTCACTACCATTGTACATCACACCCCTCATCACCGCTTTGCAGACCCCTCGATCACGTTTGAGGCATATGACACCACAGACCCCAGTGCCCCCACCATGATCTACGGGCCGGGTCCAAGGCTCATTTATTACAAGGAGAGGGACATCGCACCCTTCACTGCCGCCTCGCCCGACAACGTTACGCGCCCTTGGGAGCAACGTGCCGTCGTGCCCCTCGACCTGCTGGGCGGCCGCCTGCGCCAGTACCAGGTCTGGTGCCGGTGAGTAACACACTTACACTTAGTACCAACGGTAAGTATAAGTTACGCACTTACAATATATATTGGACACAAATAAGTAACTCACTTACACTTAGTACCACACATAAGCGTAAATAACACATTCACACTTAATATTAACATAATGTTCATTATCACACTTTCTCTTAGTATCAAACATAAGGATAAGAAATGCACTTTCGATTAATACGAAGCTTACCGATAAGTAACACAATAATATTTTGTACGAAACATAGGAGTACGTAACGCGCTTACACTTAATACCAAACATAATTAATAACGCACTTACTCTTCGTACCAAACATAAGGATATGTAACACACTTATACTGCTGTTAGCACCTCCCGTTGTTCCTTCCTTTCGATCTTGTTTCACTGCCCTACCACCAGGTACTCTCAGCCTCCCGACGCATGGCAATCATGGGGCGTGCCCCTCCTCTGGGCTTTACTCGCCCTCGTGCTCACAACCCTCGTGGCAGCCGTGGCATGGCAGCAGCGCGTGGGGTACCTGCGCAGCCAACAAGGAATGGCACGGGCCGACCGCCTGCGGGCGAACGCGCGGGCAGCGGGAGCGGTACAAGAGTGTGTTCGTGGCGTCCATGTCTCACGAGCTGATGGGCATCATGGGGTTGCTCGCTCTCAACTGAACTCCCCTCCACTCCCCACCACCAGGTACTCTGAGCCTCCCGACGCGTGGCAATCGTGGGGAATTCCTTTCCTCTGGGCGTTGCTGGCTCTGGTGCTGACATCCCTGGTGGCAGCCGTGGCATGGCAGCAGCGCGTGGGGTACCTGCGAAGCCGAGAGGGAGTGGCACAGGCCGACCACCTCCGGGCCAACGCACGGGCAGCGGAGCGGTCCAAGAGTGTGTTTGTGGCGTCCATGTCCCACGAGCTGCGCACGCCCATGATCGGCATTATAGGGTTGCTGGACGCCCTGGCTGACATGGGGCTGAGCGGGGCTCAAATAGCGGATGTGGGGCAGGCGAGGGCGTCGGCGGAAGATACGGTGCGGCTGGTGAACCGCGTGCTTGATCTGTCCAAGCTGGAGGCGCGCAAGATGGGGCTGTGTTGTGCGCCAGTTGACCCGCGAGTTTGGCTGGAAGGAATCGTCAGGGAGAGCTACTGGCGGGCTCGCCAGAAGGGGATTGAATGTGAGTGTTTGGGTGATAAGAAAACGGTGTGGGCGAGGGACTTGGCATGCTTTTACGGCTGAACAGCGAATGGTTTGTGCGAGGAAGGAGGCGAGGGCATTGGCGGAGGACACGGTGCGGCTGGTGAATCGCGTGCTTGATCTGTCCAAGCTGGATGCGCGCAAGATGGGTGGCTCGATATGATGGCTTTCTCTTGCTGGAATGCCTCTTAATCAGCAAGCTGGATGCGCGCAAGATGGGCGGTGAGGTCGAGGCACTGGGCGGCGTTTTGTTGCTCCTGAAGGGGGGGTGAGTCGTTTGTGCAAGGATGAGCTGCTGCTGCGGGTGGGCTGCTTGACCCAAGGGCTTGGCTGGAGGGCGTTGCTGGGGAGAACTACTGGCGGGCTCGGCAAAAAGGGATAGAGCGTGAGTGGGTGTGTGAAGGGCGAGAACTGGGACAGTGGACGAGCATGTGAGTTTGTGGTTGAGGGGCGAGGATTGGGATGGAAGAATAGACGAGGATGTGAATGTGCGAGTGTGTGAGTGGTGGATGAAGTGTGGGCGGCACTGTGTAATGATCGAGGCATGCTGTGGCGTTTTTGGCCTCACCACTTTGTCGTGGAAAGGCGTTGTGTCTGAGGGGTCGTTTTCCCCGTTCAGCAGAATCATTGTCGATCCTTGGATGTGATCTCCGCGCTGTCGAGGCATGTTGTTGGCCCTTCATTTCTCAGTGGTGTTTGTCCAATACATTCTTCCTTCCACCGTTCCTTTCAATCTCATCTCCCCACGGCAGTGGTGGGACTGGTGGATGAGAACGTGCCTGAGGAATTGGAAGTTGACGCCATGAGGCTCACACAAGCTCTCCAAGAACTGATAGGTGAGTGAGACTCACACTAGTGTTACAAGAGTTCACAGGTGAGTGGTGCAAGTGCTGGCAGTGGTGGGACTGGTGGATGAGAACGTGCCTGAGGAGTTGGGAGTTGACGCCATGAGGCCCACACAAGCTTTCCAAGAGCTTGTAGGTGAGACTCATATCTCACTCACATCACATTTCTCTCTCGATACTCAAAGAGTTTACAGGCAGGGTATCTACATCTCAAAATTGTCACCAGACCAGATGCCATGAACGGGCATTTGTTCTTCCCATCATCCCATCCCTCCCATCATCCCACTCCTCCCATCACCCCATTTCTCCCATCACCCCATCCCTCCCATCACCCCATCCCTCCCATCACCCCATCCCTCCCATCACCCCATCCCTCCCATCACCCCATCCCTCTCATCACCCCATCCCTCCCATCACCCCATCCCTCCCATGACCCCATCCCCACCAGACAATGCAGTGCGCTACACGGGGAGCGGACACGTGTTGCTGAGGGTGTCTGTATGCGCTGCCTCCACCACTCTGCAGCAAGCCCTCGCCCACATCAGTCAGTCGTACTCCCTCCCTCCCATACCAGCCAGACCAGTCAAACGGAGTTTTTTATGCGTAGTTTCAATTCAACCCCTTGCTTCCACCACTCTGCAGCAAGCCCTGGCTGGACCACATCAGTCAGTCGTGCTCCCTCCCTCCCATACCAGCCAGACCAGTGAAATCTGGCCTTTCATGTATTTTCCTCTGCTTGGTCAGTCAGTGGGCCATGCTGTTTTGAGACGATTTTGGGCGCCCAATAGGAAACATTTTGCACTGCTGCCCAGATCTCTGGTTGGCAAATTAAGTTTGTGGTTACCAAGACAAGCTGCCCTACCCATCTCTCTTTCTATTTCTAACATCCGACTCCTCCCCCCTCCCCAATCCCATCGTCTCTCCCTAATCCCCACTTTCAGAAGCCTCAGACGCGCCTCTCCCTCCCTCACCTCCTCCTCCCCCTCCATCGTTCCTCTCCTGGCTCGCCAGCCTCATTCCCCGCCTGCCTTCCTGCCTTGTTCTCTGCACCAGAGCTCTCCTCACGCCTGGCCAGGGCAGCCTCTCGTGTGACCAAACCACTGCTGAGAGCACTGAGGAGGAGAGAACCAACCATAGCTCTTACCACCAGAGTAGCCACCAGAGTGCCTTCCAGAGAACCGATGATGAGAGAATAGCCCAGCGTAGCAGTCAGAGATTCGATGAGATACACGACCAGAGGATAGCCCAGAGTATCGATGGGAGCAGTGAGATTGGGGAGGTGTCGGCGCAAGGCGACGCAGACGTAGGAGGAGGGTGCTTGCCTGCTGATGCAGTAGGAGGGTGCTTGTCTGGTATAAGGCTGTGGGCGGCTGAGGGAGTGAGTGGGGTCACGAGGGGGGATGGAGGAGAGGGGGATTCGGAGGAGGGTTGGGAAGAAGGTGGGGGGATGCAGCGGCGGGAAAGTGGGTGCAGCGGTGGGAGTGGGGAGATGCAGCTGGTTGTGTCGTGTGAAGATACCGGGTGTGGCATTGAGGAGGAGAAGCAGGAAGGGATGTTTGAGTTGCAGGTGAGGAACTGGGGACGGGATGACTCTACCTGTGGGTGAGGTGGGTGAGGGAGTGGGTGCAGTGCAGTGGGAGTGAGGGGATGCAGCTGGTGGTGTCATGTGAAGATACGGGGTGTGGCATGGAACAGGAGAAGCAAGAGGGGCTGTTTGAGTTGAAGGTGAGGAAGCGTGGATGAATACCTATGGTGTGGGTGAGTTGGAGGCGCGAGTGGGTGAGACTGAGAGGATGCAGGCAACTGGTGGTGGTGTTGCGTGAGGATACGGATATACAGTGAATGAATCTTTTAGACGTCTCATAAAATTCACTGCAGGCAACTGGTGGTGGTGTTGTGTGAGGATACGGATATACAGTGAATGAATCTTTTAGACGTCTCATAAAATTCACTGCAGGCAACTGGTGGTGGTGTTGTGTGAGGATACGGATATACAGTGAATGAATCTTTTAGACGTCTCATAAAATTCACTGCAGGCAACTGGTGGTGGTGTTGTGTGAGGATACGGGGTGCGGCATGGAGGAGGAGAAGCAAGAAGCTTAGCATGCCCCCGCTCACTTTTGGTGCGGTGCTTGGCTGCTTTGGAAATATAGTTTCACCCACTCACTTCGATTCTTCACTGTTTTTGAGATATCTTGTCAACAGCTCACTTCTGGTTGCGGAACTGTTTCCTGTGTTCCTCATCAGGGGCGGACAGAGAGTGGAGGAGCGGGGCTGGGTCTTGCGCTCACGCACCAACTGGTGAGAGCTCCCCTAGTGATTGAGGCTCCCCTAGTGGTGAGAGCTCTTTGCACTCCCCTAGTGATTGAGGCTCTTGAGACAGTCACTCTTGATTCATCCCTTGTAAGGAGTTTATTGTCATGGTTCATGGATCTTTGATAAGGGCTCTTGCGCTTTTCAATGAATCAGATCCGTTCAAAGGTGACTTTTGAGTCGACTCAAAAGTCACCACGTTCAAAGGGGCCGGTTTTGGAACATAAAGTGAGCCATTCATTATTCTATTATTTTGTTTCGCTCATATTTATTGAGCCAATTTAAGTTGGTGTTTATCTGCTCCACTTGTGCTTAAGCCGTGGTCAAGCCATTCACTGCTTGCTTGCCCCTTCCCACCTTCCCTCTGCCATCTCTCCTCCCCAAAGGTGACCCTCATGGGCGGCCATGTGGCCTGCCTGTCTCATCCCGGCATCGGCTCAACCTTCGCCTTCTCCGTCCCCTTCTCCTCGCCCCCCTCGCCCCCCGCCGCTCCCTCTCACGTCACCCATCCTCCCACTTCTCTTGCAACCATTACTCACTCCCCCGCTCCTCCAATTGGCGGTTTGGGGGGATTGGCAGTGGGCGTGGTGGCATCTGATAAAGTCAAGAGAGAGGTGAGCACTGAGCAAATAAAGGGAGGGAGTGTGAGGTAATGTGGGTGGGAGGGGCAGGATGTGTGGGAGGGATGTGTGGGAGGGAGTTGCTGCGTTCATTCTCTTGCTGCACATACCCTCCTCCTCCCTTACTTTGCATTCTTGGCCCCTTCGTAGCAGTTTTCTATATATATTTCGTCCAAATTTTCCTTCATCCCTCGTATCTTGGCAAGCCTATCCCTTCAATTTTTCAGGCCACTCCCTCTGCCTTGTACCCTCTTCAGCTCACGTCTCGCATTCTATCAGGTCTCCGGGCACAAGTGCGCATTCTTCCAACGCTTAGGAGCGAGCCAGAGCGAGGGAGAGAAGGTGAAGGAGAGAATATTGAGGGAGAGGGAGAGAGCATGTGTTTAGATGGAGAAGGAGAGAGGGCCAAGGGAAGACAAAAGGGGATGTGGTCAGAGGGAGGAGAAAGGAGGTGTTTAGAGGGAGACGAGGGAGCAGAGGGGATCAAGGGAGGAGAGGTAATGAGGGAAAGCACTTCTTGGGTGGTGGTGGTTGAGGATGCAGATTTGCTGAGAGGGTACGTGAGAGAAATAGGAGAAGCTGCTGAAAATGGTGCATGTAAGAGTGTTAGGAATGGTGGGAATGGTGTGGAGTGCGGTGGGGATCGGTGGTGGAGGAGGGATGGGCAAGGGAGTGGGGCAGGTGGAGAGAGAGGGGCTGTGGTGGCTCTGGTGCCGGCAGGGGCAGGCAGGAGAGGAGAGGATGCAGCTTGTAAAGGTGCACGGGGAAGCAGCTGGGAGGCTGCGGTGTGGCAGGCAGGCATGCGGGCTGTGAGAGGGGTGGAAGGGATGGTGGTGGGGGTGGTTGTTCTGACGAACTGCTCTGGTAGAGAGGCAATGGGGGTATGGGACGGGGGGGAGGAAGGAGAAGAGGTAGAGGAAGTGAGTGTAGGGGAGGAAGAGGATGGAGAGAAGGGGGCGAGCAGAAGTATGGAAGAGGGAATAGAGGAGCAAAGTGATGAGGAGGTGGGAATGAAAAGAGGTCAACCTCAGATGCACTCGCAGATGCAACGATCATTGTATACAGCTGCTACTGCCGCTGCCGCTGCCGCTGCCACTGCCGCTGCCTCTGCCTCTGCCTCTGCCTCTGCCGCTGCTCCTTCTTCCTCTCCTCCTTGTGTCTCTGCTACCATTCCACCCCGGGTGGTCACCTGTCGCCGCCCGCTGCTCTCTCACCATCTGCACCACGCCGTTCAGGTAGGCCTCTGTTGCCATCAGGTGAGCCTTTGTTGCCATCAGGTGAGCCTCTGTTGCCATCTGTCTAGAATTCCCAGATTACCTTCTGCTCTCTCGGTCGTTGCGGTTTTATTTCCTTCTCTATACTCGTGACACTCCCTTTTATCATGCCCCTCCTCTGCCTCTTTCATTCCTTTCTCATGCCCTGCCCTTCACCCATCGCTGCTCAATCCAGATGGCAGCATTTGGACTCGGCGTCAACAGCCCATGCCAGGGAAACAGGGCCTGTGAGGGGCAGGGCGGTCTGGGGGTGCAACTGAGGTGTACTGAACTGGGTGCTGCGAGCTTGTGCAATGGCAGCACCCACGTTACAAGGAGGGGCAATGTGGATGCAGGGCAAGATGAGGGTCAAATCACGCAGGGTTTGAGTGGCATGGCACGAGTGCGAGTGGATGGTGCAGTTGCAGCAGCCGGTGATGCACCCAGCAGCCAAATCAGCAGTCTCAGGACCAATAGAGAGCCGGCCGCTGCTGCCGAAGCGAATGCAGAAGTACAAGGAATGAGGGAGCTGCAGAGGAGTGCGGCCACACCAGCCCCCGATGCTGACCATTCAGCCTGGGAGGCGGATTCAACACTGCAGCAGGGCAGTGAGGTGCTGCAAGGGAGTGGGAGATCACAGGCAGGCAAGGGAGGAACTGTGGTGCTGCAGCGGGTGGGTGTGCAGGCAGCCAAGTGGTTGAGTGCGGTGCAGCAGGGTGGGGGGTTGCTAGGGGGGGTGGGCGTGCTGGTGGTGGACGATGCGGCGGTGAATCTGCTGGTGGCGCGCCGCACTCTCACTCGCAGCGGTGCCACCGTCACCACCGCTGCCAGCGGGGAGGAGGCGCTCCGGCGAGTCAAGCACGCCTTGGGGGCCGCTTCACAGCCCATGGACATGGCCATGGATGGACATGTGGATGGGCATGTGGATGTGGTGCTCATGGACCTGCAGATGCCCCTCATGGACGGGTGAGTCGTATGTGTAAGAAATATGTAGAAGAATTTTTCATAATTATAACTGTATTGAAGCTAGTACGAATATTATATCAGTTGCATTACCGTTTCTAGTAAGATGGTTAATTATTCTTCTTAATACTGGCCTTTCCTCCTCCTTTGCTCCCTCCTTCATGCACCCATGCTTCCATTCTTTGCATTCCAGCTTTGCAGCAACAGAGGCCATACGAGCGTACGAGGCCGACACAGCCCTTCACCTGGCATCAACCTCAGAAGCCACAGGTAAAGCATCAGCATTAGAAAAATCAGAACGTAACATAAGCACTCCAGCCTGTTCCACTGGTCCTCCAGCCCCCACCATTTCTCGGCTCCTCATAGTGGCACTGACAGCAGATGTGGATGATGAGGTCACTCGGCGCTGCCTTGCGGGTGGCTTTGATGGCGTTCTGCAGAAGCCTGTCGACCCGAAGCTGCTGGCGCAGCTGTTGCTGCGCATTAATAGCAGGCGCGGGCTGCGGCACATGCGCAGTGCTTCACTGCCTGTTGATGGTGAGGCGGCAACCTTGTTGAAGGACACTCAAAGAGCAGTCACTAATGCTGTTTGATGTGTGCTTGAGAATCACTGTGGTTTCAATCTATTTGTTTTATTTATTCATTGCGTTGCCGGTCCAATATAGCAGGCTGTCTGGTGTTGGCGGCTCGCTTGTATGTATGATCCCAGCAGGCTGGTCCAATCGTTCTAGTTTGCCAATTGTGTTTTGTAGGTAGTGTGGAGACTTTCCTGGTTTTACAGGGCATTCAGTTACTTCATGTTTTCTGAATGTAGCCTGGTCATTATGGCTCTCAGCATTGCCACTCCCTTTTGGAATTACAATATTTTAAGTTTCAACACTTGCTAATCTTGCCTGAACCCTGCAGTGCAAATCTTCGGGGCTGTTTAGTATCAATCCGGAAGATAATAATTCATAGAGTGAATCCATCGTAGCAGGTGTATTGACTGACTTCTTTGTGTAAAAGCCTTAATCCGAAGTTACCTCTCTTTTGGAATTCTTGGCGGGAAAAGGATAAACGGACCGCGTGAGCGCAGAAGTGGCTTCGGGGCTGGCACCGGGGCAGCCCTTTAGAAAGGAAAATCTTCTGGAAGCAAAAAAGCCTCGATGTCAGGCCGCAGTGACGCAACTTTCGTGACGTCCTCATCACCAAATATCACGCAGCGCATTCGCACTACGAATGGGCTTCAACGGAATCTGCAGGTGGTCCCACCCACCCAACGGGCTATCCCCTATACACCTAACCACCGCTATTTTCAACTCCGAACCATTGCACTGTTCCCGCGTTTCGAAGATACCCTGCACGCATTCGACTATTTCAGTTGGGCACTTGGGGAACTTGGACTACGAAGCACCCCGATTTTTAATGTTAAGAAACGCATGAAAGCAAATCTGAGAAGGGGCACTTTTGCTGTCGCGAATTCCCTTGTGCCACCTACTCTTTTTGGGGGTCTGGAACCGACTCACTGTGAAATCAGTGTGAAATTTCTGACGCCCACACAACCCTCGGTCAAATATTCAAGAAAGGGTGCATACCCACTTGCGCAAGTGGGGTTAAAAATAGACGGAAAGAAAATAGCGGTGGTTAGGTGTACTCGCTAGCTTGGAAAGTGAAAACGAAACCTCTTTTTCCCCCATCCCAGGCACTCGCTACCTTGTCATCCATCCCTCTCCCCACCCCAGGCACTCCCACCACTCCACTTCACCCTACAGTTTAGAAGCCATTTCTCATTCCTGTATTCCTCCCACCCACCAGAACTGAGCCTTTTATCCCTGATCAACTTCACCAAGAGCGCGGGTACAAACCGTCGTGTTGTATCTTCACCGTAACTGTCGCCTTGCACTAGGGTTTCTAGTACACTAAATACCAATTGCACACAATTAGCCTGTCACATCGTCGTCAGGGTCCATTTTCGCTTCTTGTCTTGAAGGTTACGCCGCTAGCTGATCGAACGACTACATCGTGAAATTCGTGCGCTAGTCCTTTACCTAGTCGGAAACCTGTTGTATTTCTTCATTGCGCATTGGCGCTTCGACAATTATCAGTAGAAGTGGCAACAGAGCGGCCATGCTAGCGCTGCGGCGTCTCATTGCGACACGTGGCAGGTCGGCAGCAGCCGTAGTAGTCTCGAAGCAGCTGAGAGAAGCGTGTCGCGAATTCAGAAATGGGAGCGACGCGTTCTGGCAAGACATAGCGAGTCGATCCAAGGACACTGGTGAGTGGGACGCGGGACAAATATTCCCGTGACTGAAGTTAATCGTGGATGGGAATTGGCATCATTCGACTCGATGATCGAAGCCATTAGTGTGCTAGAAAGCGTTTGTTTGAGACCCATGGTTGGTACATGTGACTCGACCTGGATGGTGTCAGCATCGGCGAAGTGAATCTCGGAGTAGCTCTGGAGGCAACGTCGAGGACAGCGGCAATGGGGAATGGCCTTTTCCTCGATCCTCTCAGTTACTACACTAATTTCTTCTGTTGCATCCTTTCTTCCCTCACCCCCCTCCTCCCTCCCCCTCCCCCCATCCCGTTCAACCACCCTTCCCATCCTTAGGCGTGTCACTCCGAGCGGCACTTGGTGGTGACGGCGTCGGGGCCGGACAGGCTGGGCATTGTGTCGAACCGCATGAGCCGCATTCCCCTCATCCACACTCCCTTTCCCCCCTCCCTTTTCAACCACCCCTCCCTTATCCAGCCGCGCCAGCCGATCGGCACTTGGTGGTGACTGCCTCAGGGCCGGACAGGCTGGGCATCGTGTCGACGCTGGCGAAGCGGATCTTGGAGTGCGGCGGGAACGTGGAGGATAGCCGCATGGTAGGAGTTAATTCCCCACATCCGCACCCTCTTTCCCCGTCCCCTTCAAACCCCATCCCCAGCCGCTCCCTCCGAGCGTCATCTAGTGGTAACAGCGTCAGGCCCGGACAGGCTGGGCATCGTGTCGACTCTGGCGAAGGGGGAAGAGAGAGAGCCGGCTGGCATGTGGTATTCCTCCTCATCAGCACCCTTGTTCCCCCTCCCCTTCCCCCTTTCTTCCCCCTCCCCTTCCCCCTTTCTTCCCCCTCCCCTTCCCCCTCCCCCTCCACCTCCCCCTCCCACTCCCCTCCCACTCCCCCTCCCACTCCCACTCCCCTCCCCCTCACCTTCAACCGCCCTTCAGCCGCGCCCTCCGAGCGTCATCTGGTGGTAACAGCGTCAGGCCCGGACAGGCTGGGCATCGTGTCGACGCTGGCGAAGCGGATCCTCGAGTGCGGCGGGAACGTGGAGGAGAGCCGCATGGCGCGGCTGGCGGGAGACTTTTCCATCATCATGCTCATCCGCGTGGACGCCACGTGAGTGCCCTGCGTGCACGGAGGGCGTTGAGTGTGTTGAGTGCCTTGTTTCACTCTGGAGTGGCCGGGGCGGGAATGTGACCGAGAGCCGAGAGTGGCGCGGCTGGCGGGGGACTTTTCCATCATCATGCTCATCCGCGTCGACGCCACGTGAGTGCGCTGACCGCACTGAGTGCACTGAGTGCCTTGAGTGCCAGATTTCACTCTGGACTGTGCTAGAACGTGGGGAGAGCCGAGAGTGGCGCGACTGGCGGGGTACTTTTCCATCATCATGCTCATCCGCGTCGACGCCACGTGAGTGCGCTGCGTGCTCTGATGTCGCTTTGAGTGGCTTGAGTACCTTGGGCACGTCGTCAGACCCTAAAACACCCTTCCAAAGTCTCATTTTACTCCAAATAACGACACATCGTCACCCAATATGCTCACGAAGTCTTGTGCACCCACGCTGACCCGCTGCCTGCCTGCCCTCCATCCCATCCCACTCTTTCTCAGGTCGCCACGGATAACGGAGGACCTTCGGCTCAAGCTGCTTGAAGTGATATGATTCTTTAGGCGCCTCAAAGACCCGTCGCCTGCCTGCCCTCCATCCCATCCCATTCTTTCTCAGATCGCCCCGGATAGCGGAGGACCTTCGGCTCAAGCTGCTTGAAGTGCAGGGGTTGCAGGTGAGTGGTAGGGGTGTGGAGGGGTGGGGAGGAGTCGAGAGGGTTGCAGGTGAGGGCAGGGGGAAGGGTGCGGGTGAGAGGGAGTTGGAGGGTTGCAGATGAGAGGGAGAAGGAAGATGCAGTGGAGAGGAAGGGGAGTGGCGCGTGTGAGCACAAGGTTGGGATGGAGCGGGGTGCAGGTGGGATGGAGCGGGGTGCAGGTGGATGGAGCGGGGTGCAGGTGGGATGGAGCGGGGTGCAGGTGGGATGGAGCGGGGTGTAGGTGTGTGCATGGGCATACCTGGAGATGTGTGCATGTGCATACCTGGAGATGTGTGCATGTGCATACCTGGAGATGTGTGCATGGGCATACCTGGAGATGTGTGCATGTGCATACCTGGAGATGTGTGCATGTGCGTCCCCCCACCCATACCCGTTGAAAGCCACCACCCACGTGTACAGGGTGAGCACGAGGTGTGCGCTGGAAGAGCGCAGTGAGAAGATCAGGAGAGGTGATTGACCATGTGCATACCCACACCCAATCAGCCCTACCCACACTCAACCCCACACCCACACCCACGACCCCCCGTGTGCAGGTGAGCATGCGGTGGACGGTGGACGAGCGCAGTGAGGAGTAGATGTGAGCGGTGTTTGAACCCCCACCCCATATGTCAATGTACCCCCACCCCATATGTCAATGTACCCCCACCCCATATGTCAATGTACCCCCACCCCATATGTCAATGTACCCCCCCGTCCCCCACCTGTATGTGCAGGTGAGCACGAGGTGGACAGTGGACGAGCGCAGTGACGAGAGACCAGGAGGTGTTTGATCCCCCATCCCATATGTAACTGTAACCCCATGTACATATGCCCCCTCTCCAGGTGAGCACGCGCTGGACGGTGGACGAGCGCAGTGACGAGACGGCCCCCAAACGCAAGTTCCGGCGGCTGGTGCTGCGAGGAGCCGACAACCCCGGGCTGGTGTACAATGTCACTGAGTACCTGTCATCGAAGAATATCAACATTGAAAATCTAGAGACTTTCACAGAGGAGGTGAGGGAGCTCTGGAGTTGGGGGTTTGCAGAGGGGAGGTACGGGTGTGTGCAAGGCAGCGAGGAAGCTCACTGCAGCAGAGAGGGGCTGTACACTTTACAACCCAGGGCTTGTGTACGATGTCACTGAGTAGCTGTCGTCCAAGAATATCAACATTGAGAACCTGGAGACGTTCACAGAGGAGGTGAGGAAAGTTCTTGTGTTGCTTCCGTGGGAGGTGGTGTGATGTGGAGTGGAGCCGACAACCCTGGGCTCGTGTACAACGTGACCGAGTACCTTTCGTCCAAGAATACCTGGAGACGTTCACACAAGAGGTGAGAGAATGCTGGGGTGGGTAGTCACGGAGGAGGAATGGGTGTGTGGCCGCAGCAGAAAGGAAGGGGCTGGCAACCCTGGGCTGGTGTACAATGTGACTGAGTACCTTTCATCCAAAAACATCAACATTGAGAATTTAGAGACATTTACAGAGGAGGTGAGGGAAGACCGTGTGGAGCATTGAGTCAAACAATCCAAGGCTCGTGTACGGCGTGACTGAGTACCTGCCATACTCAGAACCCTCGAGAACTTAGAGACCTTTATAGAGGAGATGTGGGATCGCTGGAATGGGGATGGTTCACAGAGGCAACGGCGATGTGATGCTGGAGTGGGTAAGGGGGTTGTCTGCCATGCCCATCCGCCTGCCTCGTGTGTCCAATGCCCTGCTATCCTCCCTTCTGCCGCTCCCCCCATGGCCCATCCAGGCGCCATTCGGAGGCACCATGCTGTTCCTTATAGAGGGGGTCACCGCCCTGCCCATCCGCCTGCCTCTTAGTGTGTGCAATGCCCTCCCATTCCCCCTCTCATCCTCCCTGCTTTTCCCGCTTCCCCTCCAACTTCCAGGCCCCCTTCGGAGGCACCATGCTGTTCCTGATGGAGGGGGTCATCGCCATGCCCATCCGCCTGCCCACGCGGCAGTTGGAGCGGCAGCTGGACGCGTTGCAGCAGTCGCTGGGAGTGCAGATAGAGCTGCTGAATCTGGACCCGAAAGACATGGTGGAGGACTGGAGGTGCGTTCTGTGTTGACAGCATGGGTGAGGGGAGCGGCGTGGGCGTGGGTGTGTGGGGTGGGTGAGTGGGTCGCCCGGTAGTTGTACGTGCTGCAGCAGTCACTAGGCGTGCAGATAGAGCTGCTGAACCTGGACCCCAAAGACATGGTGGGACAGGAGGTGAGATGGAGGTGGCAGCATGAGTCGGCAAGCGGGATGGCATGGGCATGGGTGGGGGGGAGAGTGAGTGGGTTGCCCACACGGAGGTCGGAGCGGCAGCTGGACGCATTGCAGCAGTCACTAGGCGTGCAGATAGAGCTGCTGAACCATGGGTGAAGGATGGGAGAGTGCGTGTTGATGTGACAGCATGGGTTGTGGGATGACGTGGGTGTGCAAATAGGGCTGCTCACATCACAGGGGATTCGAAGGTTAAGGTGAGCTGTGCAGAACATGGTGGAAGTCTGTTCGTCCAACCACCTCTGCACGCTGATATGAACGACGTGTTAAAAGAGTTGTTTTGAGACGTCTCAAGACAACATGGGATCCGAAGGTGAAGTTGAGCTGTGCAGAACATGGCAGAGGTTTGTTTGTCGAACCACCTCTGCGCGCTGACATGAGCGTCTGCAGCCACCCCCACCCCCTCTCCTGCTTACCGAGATCTCCCCTCTCCCCTCCTTCCCTCTCCCCACCCCCATCCCCACCCCCAACCCCACCCCCATCCCCACCCCCACCCCCACCTCCACCCCAATCCCATCCCCCTCCTGGTTAATCTGCAGGGTGTGGCAGCAAACAATGGCAAGGATTCAGGGGACAGCTCACTAGCAGCAACTGCTGCTCACCAAGAGCTCCTCTCCCCTCATTCACCCCACATCCCTGATCAATCCGCAGGGTGTGGCAGCAAACAATGGCACGGAGTTGGGGGCTACCAAAGTACAGCTCACTAACAGCAGCCAAACCACCACCGCCTTTCCACATCTGAAAACTTCTGAGGCGCCTCAAATGTAGAGAGCTTACTAGCAGCAGCCAAACCACCCACCCCACCCCCTCTCCACATTTGAGAACCAACGCCGCAGCGAGGAACGCTTCCCCTCTCGCCTCCCCTCACCCCAACTGATCAGAGGGTAATATACTGTGCTGCACTGCACTGGGTCAACGTGTAGAGCTACAGGTAACAACAGGGTGTCCTAAACCCTGCCTGGCCGAAGAAGCATATAGTGTACTGCACTGTGGGGTTCTGTCTTACAAGTGGAGCTATCCCACCATCCAGGTGCAGCTTGTTGGCAGGCGAAACATGAGATTGCTAAGTTAGAGCTGGTACATTCTCTTGCAATACTAGTACAGTGCTTTGTATTAGCTAAGCACTAGGAAATTGAACCCTTGGAAAAACAGAAACATCCAAGCTCATAAGGAACGTAGGCTAAGTATCAGCGGATGTGCGTGGGTATGCTTTACTTTGAGTTGAAATCACGTGTTCAAGAGAACCGCGTGACTGGCCAGAAATTTCTTTGAGCATGCGTAGAACATCAGACCTAGCACGTAAATTTCATGCGTCATTTCATATGTTTACAACACACAGAAGTTTCACAGATCAGTTACCCGGCTGCAATTAGGGGCCACAGTTCACGCATGTGACTTGTGTGAGAGGCGCAAAATCCAGGGATAGTCGCTCTTCCCTGGCCGTATCAAGGGCACGACGGGTAGCCGCACCAGGGGGGACACTGAAGGTTGCAATGGGGGGCGACGACCAGGGCCGGGACAAGTGCCGCGACGAGCGCTGCAACGGCCGCGACAGGGGCTGTGACGGGGCTGACGGGGCCATCCCCTTGTCATTCCCCCCTGTCCTTCCCCAGCCGCTCTCCCTGCCATTCTCCCTGCCATTACCCAGCCATTCCCCTTACCATTCCCCCTACCATTCCCCTCAGATCCCCCTGTCAATCCCCTGCCATTACCCAGCCATTCCCCTTGCCATTCCCCTGCCTTTCCGCTGCCACCCCCTGCCTTTCCCCAGCCACTCTTCCTGCCATCCCTCTTGCCATCCTGCTTATTCCAAGTGGGAACGGGGAAAACACTTGCCTAGTACCACCACTTGCTATTCCTGTTTCTTTATTACGCAAGAGTGCATCGTATGTACAAAAAAAGTTGTAGCTTTGTTATGTGATTGCGTTTTGTTTGTTCCTGTAGCTCATTAGTGGAAGGCGCCAGGGTTGAATGAGCCAGCTTTCATAAACACAATACACGCAAACACAAACCTATTCTACAACAAACCCAGAGCAAATCCTCTGCACAAAAAACCTACAGCCCCTCACTGACACAACTAGTCCTCATCTGCTGACCATTGGCAGCTCGCTCAAGTGCGAGTGGTGTTGCCGAGGCTGAGCAACCAGCCACAGCACAAGGAAGAGGAGGTGAAGGAAGGCCCCGGAATGCCCTACTAGGGCTTGGATTTCGCCATTTTCACGGCGGTAGGAATCGAGGTGGACAAGGTTTTCGCCATTTTCACAGGGGTCGAGGGGGACAAGGTTTTCGCCATTGTCGGCATCGCGGTTTTGACAAGGGCGGAAAGTCACAGAAATGTGACAGTTCCGTAACTTTTGCGTGACAGTTTTGCGTCACGGAAAAGTCATGGTTGGAAGTGCCAAAAAGTGAAGTCACGTGAACGTCATGTTGGAGTTCCGAATTTGCTTACAGAAAGTCCCAGAAATGTGCCTGGCGAAGTGATGTTCTCGTCACTCTCGTCATTTTTTTGTTTCATATGCCACATGGCGAAGTGGCGTTACAACTTTCTAGATATTTTGCCAGGTGTCATGTTGGTGATTGGCCAAAATAGACCAATCAAATAACAGTGATGGGTGTGACTAAGCGTAATGTGATTGGTTCGCGACTCTGAATGGCGACTCTGAATGGCGACCGCATATCGCACACGAAACATGGGAATGCAGTGTGCACGTCGAAAGTTCAAAAGAGCACAGCCGGGACTTCCATTGGCGGTTTTCAAAATGCGTTATAATTTCAACACGTACATTGACATAGCAACAACACTGCATGTCTGCACAATTGTTAACCAACTCTATATTAAAGCCTAGTTCGGAACTAAGCGGACCAGATTATGTCGGACGGAACTTGATGACACCAGCAAATCCAAACACGGAACGTTTGGGTGCCTGGATAAAAAACGCCGAACGTTAAGAAACCTGCATCTAGACAACAGCTCGTGCCACGTGAGAAAATAAAAGAAACAACGAGAACAGCTCGAGGAATAAAACAGGCGACGGTGTGACAGCTCCACCTTCCGCAGCTCCAGCACTCCCTCACACGCCAAAGGCCGCGGTGAATGGAGCCTCGTGCGAGCCGGTCTGCACAACGTGCCCTCGCTGCAGCACGGCGATGCAGTGCGCGCGGCGCACGGTGGAGAGACGGTGGGCGACGACGAGCGTGGTGCGCGCGCCCATGAGCGCATCGATCGCCGCCTGCACCGCCTGCTCAATCTCCGCGTTTAACACCGACGTCACCTCGTCCAGCAGCACCACCCGCTGATTCCGCAGAATTGCCCGCGCGATCGCCGCGCGCTGCTTTCTGCCCCCCGACAACTGCGTGCCTCGATCCCACACCTGCGTCTCGTAGCCCTGCAGAGGGAGGGGGAGGGTAAGGAGGGAAGAGAGCGATAAGTGCGAGCCCGGGGTATGAGAGGCAGAAACGGAGGGTAAGGGGGAACGGAAAGCTGTCTGAGGAGCAGGGGAATTAGGGAGAGATGGAGGGTGGAAGAGAGACGGACGAAGGAGAGGCGCGAGCGCACTTACGTCGGCCAGCGAGGAGATTGAAGTGGTGGACGTTGGCGGGGCTGAAGAGCTGGAAGATGGGCACGTGGGGTACGCAAAGGTCACATCGCGCAGCTCCATCGCTCCCTCACACGGCAGGCTAACCTTGAAAATGGAGGGGAGGGCAGAAGCAGAGGGAGATAGACGCAGATTTAAAGATGCAACTAAGGCAAAAAATACGATTACAGCCGGGTGTGGAATCAAGACAAACATAAACACAAGTAGTGACACGACACTGACCGAATCTGTCGTCCAAAGCGACTGCCTCGGCGGCGGCTTCCCGTCGCTAAGCGTGCGGCGGTTCGTCATGCGGAGATTAACTACGGGAAGAGGGGGGGAGGGGGGGGGGGAGGGAGGTTGGGAGAGCAGGGAGGAAGCCGAGGAAGGTACATTCGGAGTGAGAGATGCAGTCGCGAAGGTTTAGATAAGAAAAAAAAAAAAAAAAATGGACCCGAAGTGTATGGACCGGGTACGCTAGCTACTTCAGAAGTTGCTAGCCCCTAGTAGTGGATGTGGGATATTGATGATGACGAATATTAAAAACCGGAGCGCTTGGAAGGAAAAAGATAGAGGGTTGAGGGTGTCTAGATCTTGCGAGGAGCGATGAGTATTTAGACGGGAGATGACTAACTGCTGAGAGGACGTGGGAGGCATAGCATTTGTACGACGGGGTGGGGATTGGGTGGAGGGGGTGGGAGGATGAGGGGTTGAAAGTGGTTTGAAGTTCGGTATGCTGATGTGTAGATAAGGGAGGCTGTGAGTGCTGATTAAGGTTTTGTGGACCACCACGATTGGTTGGGACGATTCGTAAGGCTCGGCAGATTAGGTTCGGAAAGTTGGGAGATATGTGTGGTTACTAAAGATAAGATGTGGCACGTTACTTATTTTTTATTGGGTGATGTACTTGGCTTGGAGTAGACATGTTTGCGTACGTGTACATTTGATGCTTGACTTGGCAGAATGGTGTCAGAATCAAGAAGTGTGTGAACTATGAAAAGTTGGAGTACAAGTAGCAAACCCTAGTTTTGTGTACCCCCTAAAGGCTAACCCACTATAGCCTACACAACAACAACACATATAGTGTTTGACACACCCCCATAGGCAAAGAGGGGGAGAGCAAGGGGTCACAAGACCAGTCAGGAAAGGCAAGCAAGCTCAGGGTGGATCACGACGTCACCACACATTCCGAGCACAAGCAAAGGGCCACATGGCCAGTTCACATGCAGAAGTATATATGTAGTACAAACAGCAAGGGTGATCTCAGCCTAGCAGAACAAACGGGCAGGAGTATATATAGAGATCACAGTACAGGCAAAGCCTACAACAAGTGAGGAAAAGTGGGCACCAGCCCCAGCAAAGTACAGAAGCGCTGATGATCACCAGGCTGAAGTGCCTTGGTGAATATATCAGCGGTGTTGGCCTGAGAGGCCACGTAACGCAGACGAAGCTGACCACGCTGCTGCAGCTCTCGAGCAAGAAAGTAACCGAGAGCGATGTGCTTCGTTCTGTGCTCCAGTCTGTGCTCCTCACACAAGGCAATGGTAGCCTTGTTGTCGACGTACAGCACTGGAGGAGAACTAGGCCTCTCCCCAAGGTCGGTCAGCAGGTAGGTGAGCCAGCGTAACTCCTGTGCAGCCATGGCTGTGGCGTAGATCTCAGCCTCACAACTGGAGCAGAGAACTGAAGACGAACGCGTAGAGCGCCACGAAACTGAACCAGAACCAAGGCTGAAGGTGTAACCCTGTGACGACCGCTGAGTAGCCTGGTCGTCAACCCAAGAAGCGTCTGAGTGCCCAGTGAGAACAACTGAGCTCCCTCCTCCAAGCACGAGCCCCATGCCCGATGTACTGCACAAGTAGCGCAATACCCTCTTTGCAGCATCCCAGTGCACCTTTCGGTGCCTGCCAGGAGCTACGTAGCGGGCCAGAAGGCCAAGAGGGTATGCTAGGTCAGGACGAGTGCAAGTCATCAGGTACATGAGGCAACCAACTAGCTCTGGGTAAGGACCACTCGACTCTACGGACTCATCCGAAGGCAGAGCTGAGAGCGAGTGACCTACAGCCAGAGGAGTGGCCTGTGCTGAGGACCAGGTGAAGCCGAAGCGCTGAAGGACCTGCTGCACCATGTGTGACTGAGTCAGGGTAATGGTGCGGCGTGCTCTGTCCCGGGTGATCTGCAAGCCAAGGTAGCTGCGCAGTTCACCCAGGTCTGTGCACGTGTGTCTCTTCTGCAGCTCCGACTTCACGTGGGCGAGAGCCTCAGTGTCAGCAGTGGCAAAGACCAAGTCGTCGACGTACACGAGGATGTAGAACGGCGGCAGCGAAGTGTCGGTGCGTAGAAACAGCGACGGGTCAGCAGTAGAAGGAGCGAACCCAAGTGCCGCAAGAGTAGTCCTCAGTGTGTCGTGCCACTCACGTGGTGCCTGGCGGAGACCGTAGACCGGCCGCCGGAGGCTCCACTGGGTACCAGGAGGAAACGACCCAGTGAAGCCAGGAGGGCGGCGCAGCCAGATCTCCTCGTGCAGACTGCCCTGCAAGAAAGCTGTGCTGAAGTCAAGGGAGTGAAGCTCATAGTCACGCTGAGCAGCAACGTGCAGTAGTACCCGAAGAGTGGTCATCTTCGGGGTGGGGGAGAAGGTCTGAAAGAAGTCTACTCCCTCTCGCTGACTGAAGCCTCGAGCAACGTAACGAGCCTTGAAGACAGGCGGAGAACCCGGCGGCCGCTTCACCCTGAAAATCCACATGCCACTGATGATGTTCGCCCCAGGTGGGGGAACCTCGTCGACGTAGGTGCCTGTGGACTTCCAGGAAGCCATCTCTGCATCCATGGCTGACTGCCACTGTGAGGAGTAGGGACCCTCGATCGCCTCAGCGTACGATCGAGGAGTCGGGATGTCCGGTGCATCCGGGTCTCCCTCAGGGGCAATCAGCATGGACACGAGATGGGGCGCAGCAGCTGCAAGACACTCAAGGTCCTCCTGTCTGTCCTCAAGGACGTCCGTGCCTAGAGCACACTCACCCCCGACGGACGGAGGACAAACAGACTCAGACTCAGCAACAAGACTGGCAGCGTAGTCTAGACGACAGCGAGCAGCAGAGTCGACAAGCTCAGTAACTAGGGCAGACGCAGCAGTGGACTCAAAGGAAGGGTCAGTGACAGTAGTGGCCAGGAGACGCGTGACAGTAGGACTGGCAGCACGAACGGAGTCAGACTCCGGGTCAGCAAGGGCAGGAAGAGAGGACGGAGGAGGAGACGGCAGAGGGACACGCTGTGGAGCAGTGGAGGGACGCAGTGACATCCGGTGTGTGCCAGGGACAGGTGGCGGACGCTCACGTGGTACACGGCGACTAGCGCAAGCAGTACGAACAGGTGACACCGGACGGGACACAGGCGACACAGGACGAGACTCAGGCTCACGACGCTCTGTAAGACCGCCTGTCGGACCAGTGTAGGGAGGAGGACCAGGAAGCGGCGAGGCAGGCGGTAGCTGTGACTGCGACTGGACAGGCGGAGGACACTCTACGGAGGGGGGAGGACTAGGAGGAGGCGGCTGACCAAGAACCTGCTGAAGGAGTGGAACGAAGTACGGCCGCGGCCGTGAAGTGCCCCCAGCAGCAGCTGAGACAGCACCAGAACCTCCAGCAGCTCCAGCAGAACCTCCAGCAGCTCCAGCAGCACCTCCAGCACCTCCAGTGCCTCCAGCAGCTCCAGCAGAACCTCCAGCAGCTCCAGCAGCACCTCCAGCACCTCCAGTACCTCCAGCAGCTCCAGCAGAACCTCCAACAGCTCCAGTAGAACCTCCAGCAGCTCCAGCAGCACCGTCAGCACCGCCAGCAGTACCAGCAGCACCTCCAGGAGCTCCAGGACCTCCAGCAGCGGTAGCGTCTCCAGCGGGCGGTACCTCAACACTAGGAGCTCCACTCCGGAGGCTGCAGCGCCGAGGGTACCACTCACGCAGCCGCTGAGGGGAGGGAGGCTCCAGCTGCAACACGGCACCCGCAGGACGACTAGCCCCAACTCCAGCAGACCCCCCAGCTCCAGGAGCCCCACGACGAAGGCTGCAACGCTGGGAGTACCACTCACGCAGCTGCTGTGAAGAAGGAGCGCCAGCAGGCGCAGCACGGTCAGTCTCAAAGCCCCCAGCCTCAGTCCCTCTAGGCGCAACACCCCCAGTCGCAGCACCTCCAGGCTCAGCACCCACAGTCTCCGCACCCCCAGACTCAGCACCCCCAGTCTCTGCACCCGCAGTCTCAGCACCCCCAGGCTCATCGTTCCCAGACCCAGCACCCCCAGGCTCAGTGCCCCCAGGCCCAGCACCACCAGGCTCAGCACGCTCAGTACCTCGCACAGGACCAGAGTCAACAGCTACCTCGACAGGCTCGACCGGGTCTACCTGGGAAACACCTGAGGGAGCAGCACCCTGGGGAGGCAGGGGGTCTACCAAAGCAGCACCTGGCGTGAGGAAGAGCGGCGGAGGGGGGAGCGGGGCAGTGCGGTAGGGGAAGAGACGGTAAAAGGGTACCGACTCGTCAAAGGTGACGTCCTGAGAGGCGAAGACCCGGCGCGAGGTGGGGTGGTAAAACTGCCAGCCAGGCGCGTCAGGGACAAAGCCAAGGAAGACACAGGGAACGGCACGGGAGGAGAGCTTGTCCGCGGACGTATCGTGGACAAAGGCTCGACATCCCCAGACGCGGAACACCGACGCATCGCCAACCTCCCCCGTCCAACGCAGGGTAGGCGAGGTCTCTGGAACAGAGACTCGGGGCCAGAGGTTGAGCTGACGCGCGGCGTACTGCACTGCAAACGGCCACAGGAAATGGGGGGCAGCCGCATGGATCATGGAGGTACGAGCGACCTCCATGACAAGACCAATGCGGTGCTCAGCAACCCCATTCTGCTGCGGAGAGGCCGGGAGTGTGAACGACTGGGTGATGCCGTGCTCCGCACAGTAGGCTGCCAAGAGGTCAGAGGAAAACTCGCCACCTCTGTCAGAGTGCAGACGCAGGACAGGAAAGTCCGACTGGAACCGCTGGCGGAGCTGGAGACGAGCAGCGCGGATCCAGGGGATCAAGACATCAGGGACCTCACCCTTGGCACGCAAGGGAAAGACCGTGGTGTAGCGCGTGTAGTCGTCGACGACAAGCAGAAAGTACCGCTCGTGGCCCTGTCCCCGGACGCGGGCGGGGCCCCACACGTCCAGGTGGAGAGTCTGCAGGGGAGCCTCTGTGGGAGGGAACGAGGAGGAGTGAGGAGCGGCGCGCTGCCGGCCCTCGACACAGGGAAGACAGGGAGGAGCAGGCGAGGGTGGG